GCTTCACCTGGAAGGTATGTTTGGGCCCTTGGATACTGAGGAGGGAGGAGGTAAATGGGCAGGTGTTGCACCTTCACCGGTTACAGGGAGGCTGTGGGGAGGTGTTGGGGGTGAAGGAAGTGTGGACCAGGGTGTCCCGGAGGGAACGATCCCTGCGGAAGGCGGACAAGGGACGGGAGGGGAATATGTGTCTGGTGGTGGCATCTTGCTGGACGTGGTGGAAATGGCGTATGATGATCTTCTGGATGTGGATGCTGGTGGGATGGTAGGTGAGGACAAGGAGATTCCTATCGCTGTCATGGGAGGGAAAAGGGAAGGTGAGGGTGGAAGTGCGGGAGATGAGTTGGATCTGTTTGAGGGCCCTGTCGACAACAGAGCTGGGGAATGCTTGGTTCAGGAAGAAGGTGGACATTTCGGAGGCTCCCTTGTCAAAGTTGGCCTCATTTGAACATATGTGACAGAGACGGAGGAACTGAGAGAATGGGATGGAGTCTTTACAGGAAGTGGGGTGTGAGGATGTATAGTCCAGGTAGCTGTGGGAGTCAGTGGGTTTGTAGTGGATATTAGTGGCCAGTCTATCCCCAGAAATGGAAACACAAATGTCGAGGAAGGGAAGGGAGGAGTCAGAGATAGATCAGGTGAAAGTGAGGGCAGGGTAGAAATTGGAGGCGAAATTGATGAAATTTTCCAATTCCAGACGAGAGAGGGAAGCAGCACTTGATGATATCATTGATATATCAGAGAAAGAGTTGTGGGTGGGGGCTAGAATAGGACTGGAACAAGGAATGTTCCATGTACCCCAAGAAGTTGGGATGTTGGCCTGGATAATGAGAGGATTCGAGTACAGGAGCAGAAATATCTTATGGCAGTTGTGCAGGACACAGTTATACGTTTAATCACCTGGAGTATTTTGTGCAGTTTTGGTCTCCTTAGCTGAGGAAGGATGTTCTTGCTAAAGAGGAAGTGCAGCAAATGTTTCCCAGACTGATTCCTGGGATGGCAGGGCTGACGTATGAGGTGAGTTTGAATTGGTTAGGATTAAACTCGTTGGAGTTTAGAACAATGGGGAGTAGAGGGGAGATCTCAGAAACATATAAAATTCTAAAAGGACAAAATGGGGTAGATGCAGGAAGGACATTCCCGATAACGGGAGTGTCCAGAACTAGAGGCCACAATCTAAAGATAGGGTGTAAGCTATTAAGAACTCGGGTGAAAAGAAATGTCATCACCCAGAGAGCTGTGAACCTGTGGAATTCTGTGCTGCAGAAAGCCGTTGTGGTCAAAACATAGTATGATTCTAGAAGGAGTTTGATGTAGCACTTGGAGGATCACAAGATAATGGAGGGGAAAGCCAGAACAGGTATTGAGTTGCATAGTCAGCCCTGATCGATTAAATGGTGGAGCAAGCTCAGAGGCCGAATGGCCTACTCTTGCTTCGACTTGTTGTTTTTCTATATTCCTGCCTATCCCCAATAATCTTTTACCCCTCAATAATTAAGAATCTATCTACCTCTGTGTTAAAAATATTTAAAGATTCTGTATTCATTGTCTTTGATGAAGGGATTTCCAAAGATACTCAACCCTCTGAGAGAAAATATATTTCATCACTGTATTAATAGACTGGGGCTTTCTTCCCTAGAGTGTCAGAGGCTGAGGGGTGACCTTATTGAGGGTTCTAAAATCATGACGAGCAGAGATAGGGTAAATAGCTAAGGTCTTTTTCCCAGGGTAGGGGAGTCCAAAACTAGAGGGCATAGGTTAAAGGTGAGAGGGGATTTAAAAGGGGCATGAGAGGCAACTATTTCACGCAGAGGGTGGTGCATGTATGGAACGAGCTGCCAGATGAGGTGATGGATGCTGGTACAATTACAACAATTAAAAGGCACCTGGGTGGGCACATGAATAGGAAGGGTTTAGAGGGATATGGGCCAAATGCTGGCAAATGGGATTAGCCCAGGTTAGGATATCTGGTCGGCTTGGACGAGTTGGACTGAAGGGTCTGCTACTATACTGTATTACTCTCTGACCCCTAGTTCTAGAATTTTCCACAAGTGGAAACCTCCTTCCAGGAGGAGGTGATGAGCTGCCTTCCTGCCACAACTTTTGGAAGGTACTAGTTTGACTTAGTCTTTTTCTGCATGAATTGTGTCTTGACAAGATAATGAGGAGGGTCTTAAGTTTATATTCCTGCAGCCCTGTTCAATTTTTTATTCATTTTGTGGGATGTGGGCATTGCTGGCTGGGCCCAGCATTTATTGCCTGTCCCTAGTTGCCCCTTGAGAAGGTGGTGGTGAGCTGCCTTCTTGATCCGCTACAGTCCATGAGCGTTAGGTAGACCAACAGTGCCCTTAGGGAGGGAAATTCAGGATTTTGACCCAGCGACAGTGAAGGAACGGCAATATATTTCCAAGTCAGGATGGTGAGTGGCTTGAAGGGGAACTTGCAGGGGGTGGTGTTCCCATGTATCTGCTGCCCTTGTCCTTCTAGATGGAGGTGATTGTGTGTTTGGAAGGTGCTGCCTGAGGATCTTTGGTGAATTTCTGCAGTGCATCTTGTAGACAGTACACACTGCTGCTGCTGAGCGTCGGTGGTGGAGGGAGTGGGATGCTTGTGGATGTGGTGCTAATCAAGCAGCTGCTTTATCCTGGATGGTGTTGAGCTTCTTGAGTGTTGTTGGGGCTGCACCCATCCAGGCAAGTGGGGAGTATTCCATCACACTCCTGACTTGTGCCTTGTAGATGGTGGACAGGCTTTGGGGAGTCAGGAGGTGAGTTACTCCCTGCAGTATTCCCAGCCTCTGGCCTGCATCATTGTAGTCACTGTGTTTGTGGCGAGTCCAATTCGATTTCTGGTCAGTGGTAACCCCCAGGATATTGATAGTGAGGGATTCAGTGATGGTAACGTCATTGAATGTCAAGGGAGAGTGGTTAGATTGTCTCTGACTCTGTATGAACAGAAAGTCATTTTTGATAAATCTGTGAAGAAGTTTTGCTTTTGAAGAAATAACGTTTATAATGGATGAAGGGAGAGGGATTTAGATTTTCAAAATGCCACGAGGCAGGTCATTTTGCAAAATTAGGCCTCATTTAGGTTTAGTTTATTGGCAGAAACTATCAGAATATGTGGGCAATTTTAAGTTGCCAGGTTGTAACCAGCAGGAAGCTGTATAGATCAGTAATTGGATCGCAGCCATTTACTGTCTATTTTAGCAATTTAATTCAGGAGACAGGGTGTAATAGGTCCAACACAGAAGTTGCTGGAAAAAGTCAGCAGCTGGGTGCTCTGAGGAAGGGTCACCGTACCCGACACATTAACTCTGATTTCTCTTCACAGATGCTGCCAGACCTGCTGAGCTTTTCCAGCAACTTCTGTTTTTGTTTCTGATTTACAGCATCCACAGTTCTTTCGGTTTTTGTTTTGTAATGTATCCAAGTTTGGTGATATAAATTTAGATCAAAAAGTAAACAGTGCAACAGGTTGTGGAGGGATACAGACAGTTTGGGTGAGGTATGAGTTTTGCCACTTTAATAGGAGAAATAAATTTTTTTTTTTTGCAATGTCTAAAACTGGGTATCTATGAATCATTAAAAGTTAATTTGCAGATACAGCAAGCAATGTGAAAGAAAAACTATATTTCCATTTCAGTGCTGATTCAAAATCATGGAATCTCTTCCTAATAGCACTGCTGTCCCAACACCTCAAAGATGACAGCTCAGCACCACCACCTCCAGGGTAGTTAGGGAATGGGCAATAATTGTTAGACCAGCCACTAAAGAATAGGAAATATATCACCTGTTGTTACAAGGCGAGTGGAGTACAAGCAAAGAAGCCTAAAGTAAGGCATCAGTGAGGCCACACCTGGTGTACTGTGTGTAGCTTTTGTCTCCTTCTCTAAGGAAAAACTGCTTGCCCTGTCGGGAGTACACTGAAGGTTTGCCAGACTGATTCCTGTTGATGAGAGGATCCCTCGGTGGAGCAAAAGAATAGGCTAAGTTTATATTGCTTTGAGCTTCAAAGAAAGAGCATTGATTTCATTGAAACGTACAGAAAAAATTCTAAAGGGGTGTAAGAGGTGAATGTTGGGAAAATGTTCCCATGGCTGGAAATCTAGAATACAAGGTGGCGGTCTCAGAAAGAAGGGGTTGAAGGCCAAAGTGAGGCCAAATATACTTTGTAAGAGTTGTGAATCTTGAGAATGTTCTACCCTAGAGAGCTGTAGATCCTCAGTCATTGGGTGTGATCAAGATAGGCCAGAAATAGATTTCTCAGTGCTAATGGAGTTGAAGTAAATGGATAACATGGAGCTGGAGGAACACAACAGGCCAGGCAGCATTAGAGGAGCAGGAAAGTTTCGGGTCAGGACCTTTCTTTCTTTATGGATCCTCAAGTATACACTGTCAGCAATGCGACGGCATCTTCTGGCCCTACAATCAACCTTACCCCAGCTCAGAGCCTCCCTTTCCCAGACCTGCAAAGGACCTCTTCTGTTTTCCCTCCTGCGCAGGAGGAAGAAGGGACATGTTACAGGGACTATAGTTACTACGGTTGCAGCTTACTTCTGATTTCCAGCTTATTTTGTTTCTGAACTAGTGCAGCATCTTCATGGGAGCCTGGCTCAGAACTCCAAATGATCCTGTGATTAGGATGATTCCAAATGTTTCTCTCCTTGACAATTGAGCACATTGTTTCTGGCTGTGATCAAGTAACTGCTTCTCCTTTAACTCTCTTTGTGAAATTAGACAATGCCCAGGAGTGTTGCTAGCTGCTGAGAATTTATTTTGGGTGTGGTTTTGTTTCTCTACAGTGGGTATGAATATTTGTACTGTCTCTCCTCCCAGTGTAGAGCAGTTTGAAGTCTCCTGGTCAAATCTCTTCAGATGTTTCAGTCGAATTGGTGTGTTGAGATTTTGTAGGATTCGAGTTACCTTTTGCAATTGTACTGAGCGTCAAGCTTTTGATTGGTTGGTGTCAGTTGCTAATGATATTCATGTATTTTCCAGATGTGGAAAGCTGCTGCTGGTCGGACTATTTCTGTAACAGCATCAGATGATGGTGATGATTGGGACACAGACCCTGACTTTGTGGTAAGCATTTGGTTTTCATTCACATTTGGATAGTGCCTTTTACAACCTCAACATGTCTCAAAGCACTTTAAAGCCATTGAAATGATTTCTGAGATAGTAAGAACTGCCGATGCTGGAGAATCTGAGGCAACAAGATGTGGAGCTGGAGGAACACAGCAGGCCAGGCAGCATCAGAGGAGCAGGAAAGCTGACGTTTCGGGTCTGGACCCTTCTTCAGGATTCAGGACTGGACAAAAAGGAGATGGGCAACAGGAACAAAGGGGGCAAACCAACAGAGGCCCCAGGGGAGTTTAGAAAGAACAATAGGGAATTTATTCATGTTTTTTCTTTATATATTCACGGGATGAGGGCATCCCTTGCCAGGCAGCATTTATTGCCCATCCCTAATTGCCCAGAGGGTGGTTAAGAATCAACCACATTGCTGTGGGTCTGGAGTCACATGTAGCTTGGACCATGTAAGGATGACAGTTTCCTTCCCTAAAGGACATTAGTGAACCAGATGGGTCTTTCTGACTATCGACAATGAATTTGTGGTCAACATTAGACTCTTAATTCCAGATATTTATTGAATTCACATTCCACCATCTGCCGTGGCAGGATTCGAACCCAGGTCCCCAGAACATTATCTGGATCTCTAGATTAATGGTCCCGCAATAATACCACTAGGCCATCACCTCCCCTAATTTTAAGAAAGCAAAGAATGGGCAGGTAAGATTAAGGAGCATCCCAAGGTATTCTATGAGTATATTAAGGGGATGGTAACCAGGAAACAGGGCCCATCAGGGTCCAAGGGGGAATCTGTTTGTGGATCCAGAGAATGTTGAGAGGATGTTAAATGATTACTACATTTTCCTTCAATCAGGAGAACGGGGATGTAGGTACAGAATTGGACAAGAGGGCCTGAGAGGTTCTTGAGCAGATTGACATTGGGAGTGAGGAGCTATTGGAGGTTTTGGCAGGTTTCAAGAGGATAAAGCCCGAGGTCCAGGTGAGTTTTATCCCAGAATGCTGTCGGAGATGAGGGAGGAAGTCACAGGAAACCTGATCCAAATTTTTATTTTCTCCCTGACCACAGGGAAGGTGCCAGAGGATTGAGGGACAGCTAACAGTTATACTTTTCAAGAAGGGCAGTAAGAGAGGAACCAGGAAATCATAGACTATTGAGTCTCACATCAGTGGGAGGGAAACTACTGAAGACCATTCTGAAGGAGTGAATTAATCTACCCTTGAAGAGGCAAGGTTTGATCAGGATTGTCAGTGTGGCTTTGTTGCAGAAAGGTCATAGCTAACAAATTTGATAGAATTTTGAGAGGTGGCCAGGCGTGTAGATGAGGGCAGTGAGCTGGTGTAGTTTATATAGATTTTGGCAAATTCTTTGATAGGAAAATTGACAAAGAAGGCAAGAGCTCATGGGTAACATGCCAAGTTGGATCCAAAATTGGCTCAGTGTCAGACCACAGGGATCAGTGCTAGATCCCTTATTGTTTGTGATGTTTACAAACGATGGATTTGAGAAAGTGGGGTGACTGATAAGTAAATTTGCAGGTGGCCCAAAGATTGGCTGGTGGTTGAAGAAGGTGTTCAATTACAGAAGGATGTGGGGCAGGTTGGTCAGATGGGCAGGTCACTTGCAGATGGAATTCAACCCTGATAAACGTGAGGTGTTGAACTTTGGAAGAGTAACAAGACAAGGGAGTACTTGATGAATGGCAGAACACTAGGAAGCTCAGGGGGATTTGTGGTGCGTGTCCACAGATTCCTGAAGTTAGTAGGGAATGGTTGGGGTCTGGAATACAGTGCCTGGAAGGGTAGGTGAGGTGGGAAACCTCAAAACATTCAAAAAGTACTTGGATGAGCACTTGAAATGTCATACCATCTGTGCTGTTTGGCTGTATGACTCTTCCTCTTTCTCTGTCTCCCTAAATGTTCTTGGATTGGAATTTGTAGAATCCTAATGGGTGGAAGTAAGAAATACAAAAAAAAGGAAGAAGATGCTGATAGGAGTAGTTTATAGGCCTTCTAACAGAAGGTGTACAGTGAGACAAAGTATTAATCAGCAGGTAATGAGGGAATGCAACTATGGCAGAACATTGATCATGGGTGACACAAATCTTCATGTAGCTAGGGATAGTCAGATCGGGAGAGGAGGCCACAAGGAAGATTACAGAGAGTGTATTTGGGACTGATTTCTAGAACGATATGTTGTCTATCCAACCAGGGATCAGACTATTTTGCATCTGGTGATGTGTAATGAAGTAACAGTAACCGTAATGTGGTGGAATTTAGTATTCTTTTTGAGAGGGAGGAGCTAGAGTCACAAACAACTTGTTAAACTGAAATAAGTGTAATTATAAAGGAATGAAGTTAGAGCTGGCTGGTTTGGATTGGGAAAGGAGTTTAATGACAAAGAATAGTTCATGGCCCGCAAAAAAAACTCTCCAGTGAGAGAGAAGGATTCTGGGAAAGGGTTAAGCCAAGGTAGAAAAACAGGAGGCTGGAAGAACACAGCAAGCCAGGCAGCATATGGAGGAAAGGAGCAGTCAATGTTTCGGGTATTACTCTTCTTCAGGACTGAGGTGGGGGTAGGGGGAGCTGCAGATAAAGGGGGATAGCAGAATGGTGGTGATAGGAGGACACCGGTAGTAGGTACGATCTGGTTGGTCGATGGGAGGGATGAATCTGGTTGATAGTAGGAAGGAAGGGTCCAAAGATGGAATGGAAGGGAGGAGTTGGGGCTAGAAAGGGAGCCGGAGGATAGGTGGTAAAGTTACTTGAAATTGGAGTACTCAGTGTTGACTCCTCCAGGGTGTAGGGTGCCCAGGCAGAAGGTAAGGTGTTGTTCCTCAAATTCAAAGTTAAGGATAGCATCAAATTGAAAGTAAAAAAAAAATACAATGTGGCAAAGTCTAGTGGTAAACCAGAGGACTGGAAGAGGATAAACTTGCAAGTATGAAGACAGACAGCAACAAATTCTTTAAGCGTGTGAGTAGGAACAGAGAGCCAAAGTGAATATAAGCCCCTACTAAAGAAAAAGGTTCAAAGGAAACTAATAGGTCTAAATACCAACAAGTCCCCTGGACCTGATGGGATGCATCCTCAGATATTAAAGGAAGTAGTTACAGAGATAGTGGATGCATGTATTAATCTTCCAGATTGTTATACCTTTTACTTAAGAATGCAAGGAGACAAAACAACAGTAACTATAGACCAATTAGCTTAATGTCGGTTATTGGGAGAATGTTAGAGTCTTTATATAGGATATAATAGCAGAGTATTTAGGAATATGTCATATGATCCAGCAGAGTCAGCATGGCTTCATGAAGGGGAAACCATGCCTGACACATTTGCTAGAATTCTTTGAGGAGGTAGCAAGCAGGTGTTTGTTAAGCTATAGCACTTTAGGCTGCTTACCAAAATAAGGGCCTATGGCATGGATGGAGGATTGGCTAATTATTGGAAGACCGAGTTAGGATAATGGGGTCATTTTCAGGCTGGCAATGTGCAACTAGTTGAACGCCACAGGGATCAGTGCTGGGGCCACAATTATTTACAATGTATATTAATGACTTGGATGAGGAAAGTGAATGGACTATTGGGAAGTTTGTGGATAACATAAGAATAGGTGGGAAGGCAAGTGGTGAGGATGACACAGTCTACAGAGGGAAATAGACAGGTTAAGCGAGGTGATACTACCGGGCAGATGGAATATAATGTGGAAAAATGTGAGGTTATGCACTTTGGCAGGAAGAAGAAGTGCTAAATATTAGTTGAATGGAAAAAGACTGCAGACAGCTCTAGAACAGAGGAATTTTGCAATCCTTGTAAATAAATTACAGAATGTTAGTTAGATGGTTGATAAGGCCAGCAGTCGGAATGTTGGCCTTTGAAATAAAGGGAATGGAATATAAAAATAAGGAGGATTTGCTAAAACTATACAATACACTAATCAGATCTCAGCTGGAATACTGTGAACAGTTTTAGGCCCCTTTATCTAAAGAAAGATAGACTGGCATTGGAGGTAGTCCAGAGGAGGTTCACTAAGCTGATACCAGATATGGAGGGACTGTCTGATGAGGAGAGGCTGAGCAGAATGGGTCTTTATTCATTGGAATATAGAAAAATGAAAGGTGACTTTATGGAAACATACAAAAATCACTAGAGGCAAGGTGGATAGCAGAGGACTGGAAAATGGTGAATATACCACCATTTTAGGAAGGGAGGGAGGCAGAAGATGGGAAATTATAGGCCGGTTAGCCTGACCTCAGTTATTGGTAAGATTTTAGAGTCCATTATTAAAGGATGAGATTGTGGAGCTTTTGGAAGTGCACGGTAAAATAGGGCTGAGTCAGCACGGCTTTGTCAAGGGGAGGTTATGCCTGACAAATCTGTTAGAGTTCTTTGAGGAGGTAATGAGCAAGTTAGATAAAGGGGAGCCAGTGGACATGATCTATTTGGATTTCCAGAAGGCCTTTGACAAGGTGCCGCACAGGAGGCTGCTAAATAAGATAAGAGCCTGTGGTGTTAGGGGCAAGGTACTGGCCTGGGTAGAGGATTGGCTGTCTGGCAGAAAGCAGAGAGTGGGGATAAAGGGGATTTTTCAGGATGGCAGCTGGTGATTGGTGGAGTTCTGCAGGGATGTGTGTGGTGAACACAACTATTGACATTATATATTAATGATCTGGACAAAGGTATTGAGGACTATGTTGCTGAGTTTGCAGATGACACCAAGATAGGTGGAGGGACAGGTAGTGTTGAGGAAGGGGGAGACTGCAGAAGGACTTAGACAGGCTAGGAGAGTGGGCAAAGAGGAATACAGTGTGGGAAAGTGTGAGGTTATACATTTTGGTAGGCAGAATGGAGGCATGGACTATTTTCTAAATGGGGAAAGGCTTCATAAATCTGAAGCACAAAGGGACTTGGGAATCCTAGTTCAGGCTTCTCTTAAGGTCAACGTGCAGGTTCAGTTGAGAGTTAGGAAGGCAAATGCAATGTTAGCATTCTTTTCAAGAGGGCTAGAATACTAGAGCAGGGAATGTACTGCTGAAGCTGTGTAAGGCTCTGGTCAGATCACATTTGGAATGTTGTGAGCAATTTTGGTCCCTTTGGTTAAGGAAGGATGTGCTGGCCTTGGAGGGGGTCCAGGGGAGGTTTACATAAATTATCCTAGGGCTTGTCATATGAGGAACACTTGAGGACTCTGGGTTGATGGAGTTTAGAAAGGATGAAGTGGGATCTGATTGAAACTTGCAGGATACTGAGAGGCTGGGATAGAGATGCGCAGAGAAGATGTTTCCATGAGTAGGAGAGACTAGGACCCAAGGGCACTACCCAGGGTGAAAGAATGATCCTTTAGAACTGAGATAGGGAGGAATTTCTTCAGCCAGAGAGCGGTGATTCTATGGAACTCATTGCTGCAGAGGGCTGTGGAGGCCAAGTCTTTGAGTGTCTTTAAGACCGAGATAGATAGGTTCTTGATTAGGAAGAGGAGCAAGGGTTACAGGGAGAAGGCAGGAGAATGGTGTTGAGAAACTTGTCAGTCATGATCGAACAGTGGAACAGACTCTTGGGCTGAATGGCCTAATTCTGCTCCTATATCTTATGGCCTTATTCTTAGAGGGCTTGACAGGATAGATACAGAGAGGTTGGGCAGGGTGGCACGATGGTTTAGTGGTTAGCACTGCTGCCTCACAGCGCCAGGGACCTGGGTTCAATTCCAGTCTGGGCAACTGTCTGTGTGGGTTTCCTCCGGGTGCTCCGGTTTCTTCCCACAGTCCAAAGATGTGCAGGTTAGGTGGATTAGCCATGCTAAATTGCCTGTAATGTTCGGGGATATGTAAATTAGGTGGATTAGCCATGAGGAAAGCAGGGTTACATGGCTAGGCTGGGATGCTCTTTGGTGAGTTGATGTGGACTTGTTGGGCCGAATGGCCTGTTTCCACACTGTAGGGATTGTATGACGATGACTCCACGAGGTTGTATCCTCTCCTGGGAGAGTCTGGGGCCAGAGGGTTGAATCTCAGAATAAGAGGTTGTACATTTAAAACCGAGATGAGGAATTTCAGAGAGTAGTGAATCTATATAAATCTTTACCACAGAGGGTTGTAAAGACTAGGTCATCAAGAATATTCAAGGCTGAGAGAGACTGACAGATTTTTAATCAGTAAGGGAATTGAGGATTATGAAGAAAATGGAGTAAAGTGGAGTTGAGGATGATCAAATCAGCTATAATCTCATTGAATGGCAGAGCAGATTTGATGGGCTGAATGGCCTACTTCTGAACCTCTTTCTTATGATCTTGTGTTGCCTGACCTGAGTTCTTCCAGCTCCCCTTGTTCCAGCTGCTTCTGGTTTCCACCATCTGCAGTTTTTGGCTGCTGTATAATTCTCTGCTTCATCACTTTAAACTTGGAACGTTCCCAATATATCACTCAAAGAAATCTAATAGCTGTAGTGTCTAATTTTAAAAGCAGTAATCCCTGGTAGTGCAGGGTTGATCTGCAAAAGTCTGACAGTCACTGAGTATTTAATTTTTATAAAAGCTAGAAGGAACCTAGTTGTGTTTCCATAGCACCATTGGTGACTCCAGAATAAATCAAAGGGTTTTACAGTCTGTTTATTTCATTGCTTTTAATGTGGGGCAAATGCAGGGGTCAGAAACAGCAAGATGATGCTGACCAGATCACCCCTCTTTTTAGCCATGTTGATGGGTAGGTAATGGCCAGGGTGCCAGGAGAGAACCCCTCTGCTGTTCTTTCAAATAATGCCATGGGACTTTTTCACTTACCTCCGAGAGAGCAGTCAGGGCACCTTGTCTGTGAAGAGCCACATCAGTGGTAGGTTCCCTTGCGACTATACTGTAGTGTCAGCCATGGCTTTCTGCTTAAGACTGTGGAGCAAGACTCCCACCCAGGCCTGTCTGACTTGGAGACCAGAACTGTTCCTGCTCAGCCAAGGCCAATACTATGTCCCTGAATCCACATTGTCCATTTCAAGTTCCAAGCAGGTGACATTTTGGTTCTGTCTTTTGTTTGTACCTTGGTCTGATGTCATAAGCAGTGGTACAATGTGATGAGGCTGTTCACCACATTAAATTTACAATATTGTGTCCAATCATATAAATTTCAGTGAATAGTAAACTGCTCTCTCACTGTTAACATTTTCTTTCCATTACTTGTGTGCATGTGGGTAGATGAAAGGTTTTTTTAATGTTTTCTCTCTTTTTGTTTTAACTAGAATGATTTATCTGAAAAAGAACAGCGATGGGGAGCCAAGTCAGTTCAAGGATCAGGACACCAGGCCCATATAAAGTAAGTTGTTCCTTGGTGACTGTGACTGGGAGATTGTTCGGCTCTCTTATTCTTTAGGTCACTCGCACGGGGAATTTTGTTTTACAACTGGAGGAACTGTTCTATGGCATCTTCTGAGGTTGATTCAAGCAGATGTAAACAATTAATGGGAATGATTTTTAGCAACAGCCACAGGCTGTTCTGTTAATGATCCTGAAGTACTCCTCATGCTTCTGTGTGGGATGTTGCGATGCATTTGTTGCCACAACTTTTGGAAGGTACTAGTTTGACTTCGTCTTTTTCTGCATGAATTGTGTCTTGACAAAATAATGAGGAGGGTCTTAAGTTTATATTCCTGCAGCCCTGTTCAATTTTTTTATTTACTCTTATGGGATGTGGGCATCACTGGCTGGGCCAGCATTTACTGCCTGTCCCTAGTTGCCCCTGAGAAGGTGGGGGTGAGCTGCCTTCTTGAACCGCTGCAGTCCATGTGCTGTAGATAGACCCACAATACCCTTAGGGAGGGAATGCCAGGATTTTGGCCCAGCAACATTGAAGGAACAGTGATATATTTCCAAGTCAAGATGGTGAGTGATGTCTTCTCAGTTCGATGTGAAGAGGAATTTCTGTTTCCTTCTTAAGAAGCTATTGCTCAGGATTTAATATCATCTTCCTTAATTCTTCCCCTGTTAGTATATCTTTTGCAATATTGCCTTTAGTTCCCGATTTTAAATTGGGCCATCAGGTAACTAAGGACAGATCCATGAAAATTTCAGTTACCTGATTGAAATCTTGGTCAGTGGGTGCATGAGGTTGGGTCACATCTTCATCGACCTTCAGGCTCACCCCAAATGTTGAGCCATTGTTCTCCTCATCTATTCCAAGGAAACTAACAAGGAATCCCACTTGAATGTGGAACAGCGACCAAAAATAGTCAAATTCAACAGATTGAAAATCCAGGTTAAAATGGCCGATGTGGCTAATGGGGCAGAAGCTGTGATTTTTCAGCTGTTACTGCACTGTTAATTTAACAGGACACAGCTGGTGGTTGTTGGCTCGTGGTCCATCACGATCAAGTGGAAAGTTGGAGAGAGGGTGGGAAGGGAACAGCAATTTCAAATGCAAAACCTCGCAAGACCTAGGAACCCAACATCAGGCTGGTCAACACTGTTTAGTAATATCTGTGCAACAGTGCCTGTGCATATTAGCATGTGTTCTAATTAATTATAGCTCTGTATGGTACTAAGTATCCAAATAAACAATTGGTGTTGGACTATCTGACTGATGGAGAGTCTGGTCACTGAAGTGTTTCTAAGTTACATAAGAATTAAGAGCAGGAGTAGGCCATTCAGCTCTTTGAACCTGCTCTTCCATTTAATGCATAGTTTCTGATCTCCTCTCGGCCTCAATTCCACTTTTCTGCTCACTAATAAAAATCTGTCTATCTCCTCCTTAAACTTAAACTCCCAGCAAGGTTAACATGCAGGTTCAGTTGGCAATTAGGAAGGCAAATGCAATGTTCGCTGGCATTGATTTCAAGAGGACTAGAGTACAAGGGCAGGGATGTACTGCTGAAGCTGTACAAGACTCTGATCAGACTACATTTGGAATATTGTGAGCAGTTTTGGGCTCTGTATCTAAGGAAGGATGTGCTGATATTGGAGGGAGTCCAGATGAGGTTCACAGGAATGATTCTGGGGGTGAAAAGGGCTTGTCAAGAGGAATAGTCAAGGAGTCTGAGTCTGTACTTGATGGAGTTTAGAGGTTGAGGAGGGATCTGATTGAAACTTGCAGAATACTGAGAGGCCTGGATAGAGTGAACGTGGAGAGGATGTTACCACCAGTCTTGGAGACTAGTACCCAGGGGCACAGCCTCGGAGTGAAGACATGACCCTTTAGCACTAAAATGAGGAAGAATTTCTTCAGCCGGAGTGGGGTAAATCTGTGGAACTCATTGCTGCACAGGGCTTGAATTGAATGTATTTAAGTCAAAGACAGAGATTCTTGATCAGTAAGGGGATCAAGGGTTATGGAGAGAAGACTGGAGAATTGGGTTGAGAAACATGTCAGCCATGATGATTGGTAGAACAGACTTGATGGGCTGAATGGCCTAATTCTACAACTGTATGTAACGGTCTTTTGGCATCCACCGCACTTTGGAGGAGTGAATTCCTCAGATTCATGGCCCTATGAGAGAAGTAATTTCTCCTCATCTCTTTGTAAATCTGCTCCCTCTTAAACTAAAACTATGACCCCTCATTCTAAATTCCCTCCCATGAGGAGCAGGTGTTCCTGGGAGAATTCCTATGTGGGGTCCCTCATTGTGAAAAAAGCAGGTTCTGTACTGTCCAGCTGTGTTAATCGATTAGCCTTGGGGACAGATAAATCTGAGGGGAAACATTAATGGAAAGTCACACATCATTAATGTTGCTATCTTTTAGTCTGCTCAATGTAGCCTTCATAATGCGCCCCTACCCCACTCCCACCCCAGTTAACATGCCCCAATCATTGAGGAATGTTTTGCTCTCATCCCTTACTCAATATACACTGAGTGTTCGGCTTGAAAAAGTACTCCTTGCATCCTGCCTTGGTGAAGATCAAGTGTCTGCTTGTAGGGAACAGAGGGTAAATTTACTGCTGCAATAATCTGTCTACTTCTGAGCGAGATTCTACCTGCACTTGTCCAAATGCACTGCAGAATCAGTGAGAGGCAGACAGGAACTCTTGTCCTTTAATGCTTTGAGCTGTTTTGTAACGTTGGTATTCAGCTGGTTGGACTGGAGCCAGGAGTCGTCATCAGGAGCTGTTGGCATGGGAGTTGCTGGGAAGTCTGGAGAATTCCTGACTGGATTTATTCTGGTTGCTTGTGTTTGCAGTTTGGGTCTTTCAAGGTGACTGAATTGAGCTTACAGCATTGAGAATTCTCATTGGGACTTCGAGTATAATTGAGTCTAACCTGATCTGTCAACTATATAGTACAAAAGGAGACCTTTTGGCCCATCATGCTTGTACTAGCTCTCTGGAAGGATTTTCAATGAGTGCCACTCCCCTGTTTGTTTTGTGCTGTTCTCTGTTGGAATGCTGTTACTGAATGTTTGACCCTTTCAGGCAGCACATGCTGGGTCAGTTTCTCCGCTGTTAGACTGTTTCTGTTAACATTCTTGCCTGAGCAGCCCTTGCCTACTGTTACATGTAAATTTGAGTTGAATGTTTGATTTTCCTGGTTTACAGGCTCTCAGTAGTAATGATGTGGAGGTGCTGGTATCGTGATAAAGTTACTGAACCAGTGAGCCTGAATCGTACTCTGGGGGTATGGGTTTGAATCCTACCTTTAGTGAAATTTTGAATTCAATTTTTAAATAAAATCTGAATTAAAAATAGAAGCTAGCCTAATGGTGACCATGTAATCACTATCAAGGTAAAAGCTACCAGGTTCACTTCTGTCTGTTGGGGAATGGAATCTGCAATCCTTACCCGGTCTGGACTACATGTGACTCTAGACCCATAATAATGTGGATGTCTCTTACTGCCCTCTGGGCAATTAGGGATGGCCATTGATACAGGCCTAAGCAGCAAAGCCCACATCCTATGACCAAAGACAATTGTTAAAAATAATGCCATCGAGGCTGCTCTGCTATTCAATGAGACTATAGCTGATTTAATAATCCCCAACTCTGCTCTCCTGCTTTTTCCCTTCCTGATTTAAAAATCTCAGTTTTGAATATACTTAATGACCCAGACTTGACAGCACTCTGTGGTAAAGAATTCCACAGATTCAACTCCTTCTGAGAGAAGACATTCCTCCTCACCTCTGTCTTCAATGTGTGGAATACGAGGCTAGGGGCCGAGTCCTGGAAAATGGGATTAGCGTAGATAAATGATGACCGGAACAGACACAATGAAGATTGTCAAGAATTCTCTCTGTAGTGCCAATGACCAGGATGAGGATTTGTATTTCAGCTCCTCTCCAATAAAAAATAGAGGCGGGGAATTAGAAGTATGGAAGGTTTTTATCAGCATCTGTTTAACAAAAAGCAGGTCCTGTGAAAAGTTTTTAGTGGGGGTGGGGAGGGAAAGGGTGCTGGTTAGAAAGGTCTGTTTTTAGGAATTTGGAGAGGGATCTGGATATGATTACTAGCTGGTGCAGATTGACCTCCTCTTGATCTGTGAAAGCTAATCATTTTCAATAGAATGTAGATTTGATAGTTATGTTGAGCTGAGCTCACCTTTCTGCTGTCTCCTCAATTTGATGATATTTATTTCGAATGAAGACTGGCTGTATTTGCTGGTACCACGTGGCCCCTGCCATATTGTGATAGTAACGAGCGATGCTGACCTCCAGGTGCCTTGCTTTAAGTGTGTGTGCATTTTTCTAATCTCTTGCCTTGGACATTGCAATGTCCACTGATTAACTGTACGCATTCCTGTTTGTTTAACATGTCTGAGGGACACAAACAGCTTTTGTATGAAGGATATTTGCAGTGCTGACATTTTAAATGGTTCTACTGTGTAATCAATAAGAAAGCTATTGTTTCTTTTGTGAGCACGTGAGGAGCCTGGATTTCAGGCTTTTGTTTGTAACTGCTGAAGTGACCTTGGATGGTTGTCTACCCTTCCTTTTGTATCTTGTTTTTCCCACCCATTAGAATATCCTCCTTGCAGCCTGGTGCAGCCCTGAGCCTTCCCATTACTGTCTGTCGTAGTGCTGTGTTCCCTCTGTCTGGACCAACCTGTGCCCTGTCTGTGTAATCTCAGTTGAGAAGTGATTCTGTATTTTAAGAGCAGGAAATAAATCTGTGATCACTGTTTCCCAGATTGAATGTCCAGTGCATCGAGTGGAAGCCTCTGTTGAACGCTCGCTACATGTGCTTTGTACTCGTTTAAAATCTTCAGGCAGTGTAAACTGAAGTAAAACTTTCTTTGTGGGATGGAATAGAGAAAAAAACTTGTGTTTCAAAGAGACATTTCACAACACTGTTAACCAATAAGCAGATGTGGGCATTACTGCTTAGGAAGGATATGTTGGCCTCAGAGAGAGTACGACATAAACACAGACCAATACAGCACAGGAACATGCCCTTCGGCCCACCATGTCTGTGCCAACAGGATGGCATTCTAAACTAATCCCATCTGCCTGCACATGGTCCGTATCCCTCTATTCCATGCCTCTTTGTGTCTGTCCAAATGCCTCTTAAACGTTGCCAACCCATCTGGTTCTACCACCTCCCCTGGCAGCGAGTTCTGGCAAACTACCAGACACTGTGTTTAAAAAAAATACTTGTCTCGTACGTCTCCTTTAAACTTTCCCCCTTACACCTTATACCTATGTCCCCCTAGTATTACACATTTCCACCCTGGGAAAAAGATTCAGTCTGTCCACTCTCCCCGTCTCAATGTAGGTTTATAAGAATGATATCTGGACTTCAGGGGTTACGTTATGAGGACAAATATACAAATGAGCCCTGTTCCTCTAGAATTTAGAAGGTTAACGGGTGACCTGATTGAAGTCTTCAAGATGTAAACAGGAGAAGTCAGGGTAGATAAAAATAAACTATTTCCACTGTCTGGGGATTTGAGAACTGGGGTGTATTGTCTGAGAATTAGGGCCAGACCGTTCAGGAGAGATATTAGGAAGCACTTTGACACACAAAGGGTGTTAGAGGTTTGGAACTGTCTTCTACAAACGGCTGTGCACGCTGGATCAGTTGTTACTTTTAAGTCTGACATTAATTTTCTTTTGTTAAGCAACGGTATAGAGGGATATGGGCCAAAGGCAGGTACATAGAGTTAGAACACAGATCAGCCAAGATCTCATTGATTGGTGTAACAGGCTTGAGGGGCTGAATGGCTTCCTCCTGTTCCTGTGTTCCTTTAGTCTTTTTGAAGTGTATTCACTGTCAAGAACATGTTTGTCAATATACACACACAGCTCCATCCCACAAACAACAATAGGAATAATGTGATGTTGATTGAGAGACAAACACTAAGCAGGAAAATTTCCAGCTGAATCATGTAATCTCCAGTTGTAATGGTGGATATTTTATATCCTTTTGCATTCTGGAATATAAACTGCTCTCATATTTAGAAGCTACGTGAAGTGATTTAAATGCTGGATTTTATGGTTCACACGCATCATTGTCTTTAACAGCCCTACCTTCATAACTGTGTTCAATAATTTGGACAAATGATGACCATGTTAAGTCTCAAGCTAATTTAAGAAATAAAAACAGAAAGTGCTTGAGAAACTCATCAGGTCTGGCAGCATCTATGGAGAGAAAAAAACGGTTAACATTTTCAAGTTCAAATTTCGTCTGAAGAGTCGTATCAGTTTTGAAACATTACCTCTGTTTCCCTCCACAGATGGTGCCAGGCCTGCTGAGTTTCTCCAGAAGTTTGATTTTATTCCAGATTTCCAGCATCCACAGTATTTAGTTTTTATTTTATCTGACTTATGAGCGCTGTTAAATTTGCAAACTTTATAATATTGTTATTTATAATTGTTTGGTAGTACAGAAATTGAGTATTGCTTGAAAAAATTCTCTTTTCTGTTTGTACGCATTAGGAGAACTTGTAAGAAATACAATTTAAAGGGAAAACCAACATTTATATTGTAAGATGAGAATGAAGATTGGTTGGTTGGCAACTGGACTCTGAGTCTAGATATTGTCGTTTTGTTTTGGGGAAAAAACTTTCAAAAATAAACAAATAAAGGGGTGGCACGGTGGCTCAGTGGTTAGCACTGCTGCCTCACAGCGCCAGGAACCTGGGTTTGATTCCACCCTCGGGCTGTGTGGAGTTTGCACATTCTCCCCGTGTCTGTGTGGGTTTCCTCCGGGTGCTCCGGTTTCCTCCCACAGTCAAAAGATGTGCAGGCTAGGTTGATTGGCCATGCCATATTGCCCATAGTGTTCAGGGATGTGTAGGTTAGGTGCATCAGCCATGGGAAACGGAGGAATAGGGGATGGGTCTGGGTGGAATACTCTTCAGAGGGTCGGTGTGGACTTGTTGGGCCGAATGGCCAGTTTCAATACTGTAGGGATTCAAAGAAGAGTGCAGCAGTTTGAATGATGAGCACTGATATAATTTAATGAATGGTTTCTTTTGACATAAGTTGCCCACTAAACAAAAGTAACATTTGGCTAGTATGGATTTTTCAGTAATTTGTTACAGTATAAATTTCCAGAAGGCATTTGATAAGGTGTCACATTAAAGGTTATGGCAACAAGTAAAAGTTCACAGATTGAAGTTTGGCTGGCTAACAGAAAACGTAGAAGCTAGGAGCAGGAGTAGACTGCTTCACTGTTCAATATGATCACAGCTGATCATCCAATTCAGTTCCCAGTTTGTGCTTTCTCCCCGTACAATTCTTAGGGCTAAAGGGGTTAAAAGGTATCTAACTCATTCTTGAAAACATTCAGTGTTTTGGCCTTAATCGCTTTCTGTGGCAGAGAATTCTAGAGGCTCCCCGCGCTCTGGGTGAAGACATTTCTCATCCCATCCCAAATAGCCAACCCTGTGTATCCTTACTGGTCTCCCTGGTCATTGGGAACATCCTTCCTGCAATTACCCAGTCTAGTCTGGTTAGAATTTTATAAGGAAATAGAAGTCATAAATAAATCACAGTCTTGAATCTTAGGAACGGTCTCTTCTTCAGAAGGTAGCGGAAGCAGATCCTTTGAATATTTTTAAGGCAGAGACAGATTCTTGGTAAGCAAGGATGAGAGGGCTGTTGAAAGGTTTTGGGAACATTGGATGGTGGGGCTGGCTCGAGGTGAGAAAAGGCCTACTCCTGCTCCTGTCTTGTTGGTAAATTTTTTATAATGTGAAATCTTGCTGTGTCTTCCTTTCAGCTGTTAATTGGAGGTTCAAATTTTGCATTAAATGTTATCAGTCACCACAGAGATGTTGACAACATTAAAGTTATGTTCTGATATGTTATAGTGATCTGAAAACAGACTTTGGTAACAAGAGTAAAGTGACCCCAGAATCCAGCTGCTGCATCATTTCTGAAAGTTATCAGTGTAGTATCAGGAGAGATGCAATAATTTAAACTCATGAAGGGTTTTGATTGGCTAATCAAGGAGAGAGTGTTCCACTGGCAGAGGGATCAGTAACCAGAGGAAACAGATTGAAGGTGATTGATGAAAGTGATCTGGAATCTAGTGCCTGAATGGGGTAGTTTATAGGGGAGGCAATGGCCTAGTCCAATTATCCTAGACTGTTAATCCAGGGACCTGGGTTCAAATCCCACCACTGTAGATAGTAGGTTTTGAATTCAATGAAAATCTGGAATTAATCATGAATCCATTGTCGGAAAAACCCATCTAGTTCACTAATGTCCTGCGGAAACTGCCATCCTTACCTGGTCTGACCTACATTGGCAATGGGCAATGAATGCTGGCCTAGCCAGTGATACCCTTAATCTGTGAATGAGTAAAACAAAAGCTGTTTCAATTGTAATGATCAAAAGAGAATGAAATAAAACATGAGGAGACGAACAGAGATGTGGGGCCAATTGCATAAAATCTTATAACCTTGATAGGCATTCAGCCCACTGTACCTGTGCCTGTTCTTTGATAGCATATATCTGTTCCTGGGGTAGTTTTAGGAATAGCACAACATCTTTAACAGTGGACTTCTCCTGATGCTGGGGAGACAGTTAAGTATTTTCCTCAGTCACATTGGTCTGTGTATCTTTCTCGCAATATTCCACAGGGAAATAGCTTAGATTTGAAATTTGCCCGAAGAACAGTTGGCTGAAGGAGAGGAGAGTTACACTAGGCTGAATTCATAACCTCTGTGATCTATTGGGTAAACTCATGTCCTTCATGGAACTTAAGCTGGATCATTCTATTCGGCCTGGTTCGGTCACATCTGGAGTATTGTGTCCAGTTCTGGTCACCTCATTATAGGAAAGATGTGGAAGCATTGGAAAAGGTGCAGAGGAGATTTACCAGGATGTTGCCTGGAATGGAGGGAAGGTCTTACGAGGAAAGGTTGAGAGAGCTAGGGCTTTTCTCTTTAGAACGACGAAGGATGAGAGATGACTTGATAGAGGTGTACAAAATGATCAGAGGTATAGATAGAGTGGACAGCCAGAGACATTTTCGTAGGGTGGAGGTAGCTATTATGAGGGGGCATAGTTTTAAAGTGAGTGGAGGTAGATATAGGGGAGACACCAGAGATAGGTTCTTTACTCAGAGAATGGTCGGGGCATGGAATGCATCGTCGAAGAGAGTAGTTGAGTCGGCCTCATTGGGGCATTTAAGCGGCTATTAGATAGGCATATGGATGATAGTATAAGGTAGGGGTGGAGGTTAGATAGACCTTAGGATTAGGATAACAGTTCGGTACAACATCGTGGGCCAAAGGGCCTGTACTGTGCTGTACTGTTAGATGTTCTATTCCATAAGTATTTCTTAAACATACCACTACATTTTGAGAAGTGGGCCAAGACATTTAAGAATATAGATTGCCACAAGCTATGATTTTATTTGGTTCCACTGTGCCTTGTGTGATATTTATAGCTCAACTCTCTTTATTTTGTGCCTCTGTCTTGCTCACCCAGCCTGCATGAGTTGAGGGAAAATGTTTCTCAGGAGCATAAATCTCTAAAACAAAAAGAATTAGCTGATGGGCCAAAGGCATCCCATGGATATGGAGGGAAGTTTGGAGTCCAGGATGATCGAATGGATAAGGTAAGGAAATGTGCTGTTTTTAAATGAGTATAACAAGCTAATATTGCTTGAATTGTTTTTAATCACAGAACCTGAGCTGTATTTTAATTTGACTGTTTTCTAGTTTGTATTTTCTGGTCCCTGCACTTTTTGTTTTTGACTGTGGTCAAATCATACAACTTTGGAAAGCTAACACATTTACCAGTGTACTACAACGTAAAGTTGTCATAGTGCTCCCAGACCATAGGGCTGCTCTGTCATTAGAGAGACAACTGGGGATGGTTTAACCTGAGTGTGACCATACCTCGAGGGAGGGGAGAGGTTGAGAAGTGGAGACCTTCACATTAACCTTAGCTGGTGTGGGAATTGAACCCATACAGTTGGCATCACTCTGCATCACAAACCAACCAACTGAGCTAACTGATCCCTGGGTCTTGCAGAAATAGCACCTGCCATATTGATAACTCCTCAATCTTCTCCCATTATGTTTTTAAAAAAGCTTTAAGAAAAATTGTCTTTCTGAAAAAAACTTATCACTTTTTTACTTCTGTTTTTTACCCCCGCTCCCAAACTATATAAAATGTTTGCTCAATATTTACGATAAGCAGAATCTAAATGGGTGGGCAGGTGAATCCCGTGTCTATTTTGAGTCAGTATTTTTATTCCTTTTTGATGGTTTCTGTCCATGGAAGTTCCAGGTATGAACCTGGGCAACATAATTCCAACATTAGCAGTCAGTGTTTTATGTCACTGTGACACTGGAGATAAAATGAAGATGGAATCTGTGACTAGTGTAAACAATGGAGTTTATATACTGGCCACTGTGGATGCTGGGGTTTGCATATGGATAATTGCATTGAACACCTTTATGTCCAGCCCAGTTAATGGGGCTTGGTTAGACAACCTCCTTCCCATAATAAAAGTAAAATACTGCAGATTCTGGAATAATGAAGCCAAAACCACATGCTGGAGAAACTCAGCAGGTCTGAACTTTGTGGAGAGAGAAACAGAATTAATGTTTTGAGTGCAATATGGCTCTTTGGAACTCTGGTCTTATCTGGATAGGACCTGTCATGCTCTTCCAAGCTGCTCCTGCTCCCCATATTTTAACATGGACCTGTTAGGATGATCCCTGCTTTTCCAAATGCTGTGGCCAGTCTTCCAAGCCAAGAGAAGTAAATGATGATGAATCTGCCTCTCTGTCTGGCTGAGTTGCCAATTGTCTCTTTCCCCCTGTGGTTAACTGTGTCAACCAGGCCAGGGTAGATTAGCAAACTGAAGGTGTATGCATAGGTTGTGTCATAGGTACTTGCATTGCTTTAATACTGCTGATGTGGCTCCTTTGGAACAGGGCCCCCATGATCAATCCCTCATGACCAATCCCCTGTATACTGCTGCCTCTGTTCCTGCTCTTTGGGATCCTGTTGCCCTCTCTGCTAAGAATGAAGAGAGATCTGCAGGTTCAATCCTGTGGACCTCAGAGGGTGGACAGGAAAGAGAGGACTTCTCTGAGTACTGTAAAGCAAGTTAGGACCCCACCAGGCTGGGAGATTGCCCTCCAGTACAAACTAGTATGTTCATCACAGAATGGAGTGCGTTTGGACTTTGTGCTGCGCTCGCTCAGTGACTGTAGCGTTATTGAAGGACATTCATGGTGGAAAGGATATTTTCTGTCTTTGCCCTACTAAGAATAGACATTTGTTGTAATTTTATTTGTAAATATTTATATTTTTAGCTTGAGGCTAGTTAGTTCCATAAATATTTGACTTTTCAAAGCCTGACTATATGTTAGAATTCAAAACTCACAAGGGTATGTTTCTCAGTCAAAGAGAGTCAGAGACATCCAGCATGGAAATACACCCTTCAGTCCAACTCATCCACTCCAAACAAACATCCCAATCTGACCTAGTCCCATTTTCCAGCATTTGGCCCATATCCTTCTAAATCCTTCCTATCCATGTACCCATCCAGTTACATTTTAAATGCTGTAATTGTACCAGCCTCCACCACTTCCTCTGGCAGCTCGTTCCATACACACACCACCCTGTGCTGGGAAAAAGTTGCCCCTTAGGTTCCTTTTAAATCTTTCCCCTCTCACCTTAAACCTTTGTCCCTCTGGTTTTAGGCTCCCCCACCCTGGGGAAAAGACCTTGTCTATTTACCCTATCCATGCCTCTCATGATTTTATAAACCTCTAAGGTCACACCTTGGCCTCCAAAATATATTTTACAGCATAAAGCTGCATAACCACAGAGCTGAGTGTTGTGGGGTCTGGGGATGAGGATTGGGGGTGGGTGTGGTAACAGAGACAGTGGCCTTAGAGGAGACTGGACATGCAGGTGAGGGGAGGAATGGCCTTCTGTGTGGCAACCATTTGATGATTTTCTGATTGTATGTTTCATGTTCAGAAATGACTGTTTGAAACTTGTTGGAGTAAAACAATTGATTGCTTGAGTTAAAATAGCAAATGTTCATGTCCACTTGGATCAGGTTGATGATTGATTTTAGTGAGTGTTCTCCCAGTGATTATAAAAAGTGGTTTGTAGGTCACTGACACCAAGGTGGGAGGGTGGTATGGTGGGTGAGTGGGTGGAGTCAGCATTTCGGAAAACCTGCAAAAGCAGGGAGTTTCAAAGTGATAATTGAATTTACGGTACAATGGGTCCTTCAGTTTTCAAAGTGTCTGTGAAGATTAGAAAAAAATACACAACTAAAACAAATGCTACAATGTTGGAAACACCCAGTTCCAGTTGTATTTGTGAAGAGGTACAGTTATTTAAGCGATTACTGTTCTATGCTCTGGAACTGGCTTTTCTTTCTTGAGCTACACCCCTCCCTGACTATCCCCTACATTGCAGCCAGAACCCCACTTTCCCCAGGCTCTGTATTTATTTCTGATGGGACGGGGGTGGGGGTCATTCCATTTAAACTCTGTTTCTCACTCTGCAAATACCAGCCAAGCATTATCAATTTTGATTTGAGGTGAATATTAAACTCTCCTTTCCAACCAGTGAGCTGAAGGGACTCCGACAGTTGATTGAAACAGGGGCCAAATTGTTCATGTTTAAAGCAGAGTAGCAGAGAATTACATTCCGTTTAGAGCACAATAACACGCCTTTAGGTCCCTCTGATCTGTGCTGCTGTTTATGTTCCAAATGAAAAGTAACAAAGAGGATTGATGAGGGCAGAGCGGTGGATGTAATCTATATGGACTTTAGTAAGGCATTTGACAAGGTAGACTGCTTAGCAAGGTTAGACCTCATGGAATAGAGGGAGAACTAGCCATTTGGATACAGAACTGGCTCGAAGGTAGAAGACAGAGGGTGGTGGTGGAGGGTTGCTTTTCAGACTGGAGGCCTGTGACTACTGGTGTGCCATAAGGATCAGTGCTGGGTCCACTGCTTTTTGTCATTTATGTAAATGATTTGGACACAAGGTATGGTTAGTAAGTTTGCGGATGACACCAGAATTGGAGGTGTAGTGGACAGTGAAGAAAGTTACCTCAGGGTACAATGGGATCTTGATCAGATGGGCCAATGGGCCGAGGAGCGGCAGATGGAGTTTAATTTAGATAAATGCGAGGTGTTGCATTTTGGAAAGGCAAATCAGGGCAGGACTTATACACTTAATGATAAGGTCCTGGGGAGTGTTGATGAACAAAGAGATCTTGGAGTGCAGGCTCATAGTGGAAACGCAGATAGATAGGATAGAAGGCACTTGGTATGCTTGCCTTTATTGGTCTGTGCATTGAGTATAGGAGTTGGGAGGTCATGATGAGGCTGTACAGGACATTGGTTAGGCCATTTTCGGAATACTGTGCGCAATTCTGGTCTCCCTGCTGTAGGAAGGATGTTGTGAAACTTGAAAGAGTTCAGAAATGATTTACAAGGATGTTGTCAGGGTTGGAAGGTTTGAGCTAAAGGGAGAGGCTGAATAGACTGGGGCTATTTTCCCTGGAGTGTTGGAGGCTGAGGGATGACCTTATAGTGGCTTATAAAATCATGAGGGGCATGGATAGGGTAAATAGGCAAGGTTTTTTCCCAGGGGTGGGGAATCCAAAACTAGAGGGCATAGGTTTAAGGTGAGAGGGGAAAGAATTAAAAGGTACCTAAGGGGCAAATATTTCATACAGATGGTGGTGCGTGTATGGAATGAGCTGCCAGAGGAAGTGTTGGAGGCTGGTACAATTACAACATTTAAAAGGCATCTGGCTGGGTATATTAGTGGGGATCTGTGCTGCTGTTTATGTTCCAAATGAAATGGGGATATGGGCCAAATGCTAGCAAATGGGACTTGATTAATTTCGGTTATCTGGTTGGCATGGATGAGTTGGAGCAAAGGGTCTGTTTCCCTGCTGTAGAGCTCTGACTCTTTGACAAGCCTCCACCTTTCATGGATGTAGGTGTCTCTGGCAAGGATAACATTTATTCTCTCCTGTAAGTTGCCCACAAGGGGTTAGCTAGGCCATTTCAGAGGGTTGTTCAGAGTCGACCACGTTGCTGTGGGTCTGGAGTCACATGTAGGTTGACCAGGGTAGGACAGCAGACGAAGCAAATCTAATGGAATTTTACAGCATTGATAATGATTTCATGGTCATTATTAATAATATGTAATTTTCTCCCAAGTTGGTTGATCTGGGAAGCATCAGGCTGTTGATTGGGAGGCTTGGGTAAATGAGCTGGGTCTAGTCTGATTGAGGAGGTAGGCGTGGTCAAGGAGTGTAATTGGAATGAGGGGTCTCATCAGGTCGGGAAATCTGGTTCAGGGGCACTTGGCTTAGGACTCGTGGGGGATGTTTGGTGTGAGGTGAGTCAAGGAGAAATTTGGTGCAAGGGCAATTAGAGATTGTTCATAAATGCTGGCCTTGCTAGTGACATCACAGGAACAGTAAATAATGGAAACGCTGGTATCATTGGCATTTCAGAGAATCTCTGCATCTGTTTTTGAAGCGCTGCAGTGTTGACGTTAAAAATAGGAAGGGCCATGATGCCAAACATGCAAAATGGTGACAGTGCGAATATCATGACATGTCCAGACCTCTTTAATGATGGAGCAAAAGGATGGCAGAGGAAGAAAGGAACTGAAGCCAATCCAGATCCTGCTACCTTGTGGGCATTGTTCTCATGTTTCTAAAGATTAGTCGGTCGAGAACTGATCTGTTTGATCATGTGACAACTGACCAAGAATTGGATTGATTCTTTAGCGAGATGTTTACAGATTGCTTTGGAGGCAATGTTCATATTTGCAGGACAGTCCAAAACTAGAAAAAATCAGTAATTAATCCAACTGGGAATTCTGGTGAAACACCTTTACTGTGTGCTAAAAATACTGAATTGTCTTGAAGGTTGAGACAAATAGCAGAGAAGCAGTGAAAATATAGAGTCCACCAGTGTTGCTCCTAACCCCTTCTGTCTCCATCCTCAACCCTCAGTCCACCTGGTGGCTGGGCTAGGCCTTTCCTCTTGGCCTGCACACAGCCCTCACTCGGTAGAGAGAGATTTAAGAGAGAACCAGGAGAGACCAGGCAGAAAGGAACAGAAGGAAATGGTGGGGTGAGGGGAAGAGGGCTGTGGGAGGTGGAGGCACATATGGAGGCTGAATGCTAGAATGGTAATTGGGTGGAATGGCCTGTTCCTACACTCTTGACACAATCTAACATGCAATTTTTAAAGATTACAGTCAGACTTGCTGATGCCTCCCTATTTGTAACCAAGCAAACATTCCAGCTGGTAACTCATCAGGAGATGAATGATCCTCCAAAAAAGTCCAAATGTTGGAAATATTTGAGAACCAAGTTTTGCATGTGTTCTATGTTAGTACCTCTGAGTTTCAGTAGATGAATAGAGCCTTGTATATTTTTAATTCAATTTTCTAATTTGTTGCACAGAGTAGTGGAAACTTTTCTAGTCTTTGCTGTTTTTAAAAGTTGATGTAAGTTTTTTTTTTAATACAACTGCAGCCTGTTTTAATAGTACATCACAGAGAGGAAACAGTAAAACAGCCATCAATGCTGTAACATGTGGCTCATATACTGCAAGCAGCATTAACCAGTCTAACCCTGAAATACATCTGGGCAGTGACTAAGACACAGCCAAGTGTAAAACTTTGATATGTGGAAATTGTTAATAGATGCCGCATTAACTGAAAGAAAGCAAAATAGTGCGGATACAGTAACAGTGAATGAAGCAAACACCCAATACTGGAGAAACTCAGCAGGTTTGGCAGCATCTGTGGAGAGAGAAATAGTTCGTGTTTTCAGTCTTGATGGGACTCTTCTTTGGATCTGAAAGGTATTCAAAATTTCTGTAATAGCTTTGATCGAGGCAGAGGCCAGTACAAAGAATAAAGGGGTTGCTAACTAACGGCGGTGAAAGAAAACTAGAGATGTAAAATGGGTATAAATTAAGGTGTGAAAGAGAGAGCATGGATCCTCTCTACTAAGAGAAATGTAAATGAGACAAACAAGGCCGCAGTGGGGTGGGGGTGCTGGTAAATGTAGAAGAATGAATATAATGCTGTCAGTTTCCAAAGTTATTAAATTCACTGTTGTGACCTTGAGGTTGTAAAGTACCTCAGTGGAAAATGAGTTGGTGTTTCTTGAGTTTGAGTTGTGATTCTTTGGAACGTTGCAACAGGCCCAGGACGGAAACATTAAAATGAGAGCATGTATCCATTTTCCAATGCTTTTGGTTCTGAAGCAGAGTCATACCAGACTTGAAACATTAACTCTGTTTCTCTGTCTACACTGATGCTGCCAGACCTGCTGAGGATTTTGAACATTTTCCATTTCATTTCAAATTTGCAGCGCCCTCAGTATTTGGCTGCTGTTTTGTAACTGCCAAAGTAATTCAGCCTGTAATGAGAATGTTGAATGTTTGCAAAAGGGCGTGTTTGTTTTCTAGTCAATGTCAATACTTATATGACCCTTGCAATTTGTTTTTAAACCAACCAATCTATTCCAGTATTGGAGTGTCCCAAAATAGAGTGGGAGATGTAATTCTGGGATCATGCCAAACTGTACAACTAGATGTTTGTAACTTTTGTTGATAAGAATGGGAATCTATGGTATGTGAACAATCTCGATTAATTGTATGCCGTCTGGAGGAAGTGGTGCAATTGCAGAAAGGATCAAAGGTTTAAAGGCTGGAATAATTGTCTTTCCCTCATTCCCTATGCATGCCCTGTTGAGTGAGCCTGATAGACTCGTCTAAATTTTGGTTCCACTTGAAAGGCAACATGCACGACTTCCTGCTGTTTTGAAGTGTTAGAATTCTAATGTGTGATTCTGTTCTAATTTCAGTCTGCTGTTGGACATGAATATGTTGCTAAACTCTCCAAACACTGCTCTCAAACAGACTCTGTAAAGGGATTTGGTGGAAAGTTTGGTGTGCAGAAGGATAGGGTCGATAAGGCAAGTACTAACGCTGCGTGTGTTCGGTCGTTATGAGTGAAGGCATGTGCTAACCCTTTACTCTACATTCTCCCCATGGATTCACCTGCCATCCCCCACTCTTATAGTCCCAGAATAGTTCAACGATCACCTCATCATTTAGATTTGGACAACATGTGGAACTAACCAAGTTGATTCTTTGACCAGAGATAGTAGGAACTGCAGATGCTGGAGAATCCGAGACAACAAGGTGCAGGGCTGGATGAACACAGCAGGCCAAGCAGCATCATAGGAGCAGAGAGGCTGACGTTTCGGGCCTAGACCCTTCATCAGGATTCTTTGACCAGACATGTTAACTTTCCAAGTGATTTTTAAGTGGGTCTTTCACAATCAGCAGCTAAAACTTACACACCAAGCCTCTGTATGTCTAATTGAAGAACCCAAAAGTTATGCTGATGGACCCTATGTGTGTCAATGCTGACTGATAGAAGTTTCCAGTAATCTCTCTCTTTTCCAACTCCTCATTTTCAAACAGCATGCCAGCAAGACTCCGTACATGAGAGTAGTCTGGCATCGTGCAGGAGGGTGATGCTTTTGGGTATCAGTGCTACAGGAAACCATCAGGATTTTCTGAAAGGCAGGAAGAAATAAGTAGGGAGTGGGCTTGGTGGAGGGGTGGGAGTTGGATGAATGGGAGTTTGTAAACAATCCTTGCATTTTTCCAGCTTTTTGCACTTCACAGTCACCTGACTGTCCATTCCCCAAGCAAGTATGCAAACAGAACTCTTCAGAATGTAGACGCCTGTTTTAATAAAAAAAGGTTCCCCTGTGAAATCCAGTGAAAATCACTTGTTAATCTTGGTCTCAGTGTGGGGACATTACTTGGCAATGTTTTTTGTTTAGTGGAAATATATGCTTGACCTTGGGAGTTTATGGTATTTCAAAAGGATTGAACCACCACAAGGACAGCAGTGAAGGAAAGGGTCATTAAAAGATCCGAGAACTGGAACTGAATATTGGAGGTTGGGGTGGGGGGGAGGGGATGAGGGGATGAGGAGGCTGATTGTCCCCTGTGAGTTTTGGCCAGGCTACACCGAACCTTTGCCAGGCTCTGGAGCCTGGGACGTTCACCTTCATTTCTGCAACGTTTTGATAAAGCAGCAGACAGAGGGGTGTTGAAAAAACAATGGATGTTGAATCCTCACTTTGCAGCTCTTCTCCCTGCGGTCCCCACCCCCTACTCTTTAGTTAAACATTGAAATTGGAAGCAGGAGTTGGCCATGTGGCCCTTCATTCCTGTTCTGCTATTTAATAGGATCATGGCTGATCATCCAACTCAGTACCTGTTCCCACCTTTTCTCCCCATATCCTTTGATTCTTTTCAGTCCTTAGAACTACATTGAACTCCTCCTTAAGAGCATTGAGTGTTTTGGCCTCAATTACTTTGTGTGGCAGTGAATTCCACAGGCTGCCCACTCTCTGGCTGAAGTTATTTCTCCCCATCCCCGTCCAAAACAGCCTACCCTGGATCCTTAGACTGTGACCCCTGGTCACTGGGAACATACTTCCTGTGTTTACTCTGTCTAGTCCTGTTAGAACATTGTAAATTTCTATAGGAGCCTCCCCCACAACCACCAATATTCTTCTAAACTCCAGTGAATATAATCCTGTCTAATCCAGCCTGCCTTCAAATTGATCCAGTTTAGGTGCAAGCCACTACGTTGTGCTGTCCAGGTGTCTGAGGGGACCAGTTGGTTTTATACCTTGAGAAGGATTATGGAGCTCTGGAAAAGTCACCACCTGTTTTCTTTCAATTATTCATTTGGGCTCATTTGTCCTTGTGCAATCTAACCATTCTTTAACAGCACCCCCACCCCTACTATCCCAATCTTTGAGCTCTCCAACCCAAGCTTTCACCTTTTCACTCTCCAATCCTCAGCCAGAATAGAGTTGCTACACTCTTGCTTTTTGAATCAGATTGGGTTGGAAACATTCTGTGTGTGACCACAGGATGGAGGAAATCAAAAGCCACCATCCTTCCCATGGCTTGAGATGTTGGAGGCATTGACCTAAAACAAATTCAGCACTTGTTTAGATCTGAAACAAAAACAGAAATTGCTGGAGAAACTTAGCAGGCCTGGCAGCATCTGTGGGCAGAAAGCGGAGTTTTGACTACAGTGACTGTTCTTCAGAGTTCCTCTAATGAAGAGTCACTGGACCCAAAACGTTAATTCTGATTTCTGCCCACAAATGTTGCCAGACCAATTGAGTTTCTCCAGCAATTTCTGTTTTTGTTTTTGAAATACTTTGAGAACGTTGTGTATGTTAATTGAAAATGGCTAATTTTGTAATTGTCAAATGTTTATACTTTGCTGAATGTCAAACTGAAGCACGTTGTAATATTTTTGCATGTATTCTGTACAGAACTGAAATCTTGTTTTCTTCTAGTCAAAGCATTATTTGCCATTTGTGGATTGATGCTGATCAGCATTATGTGAACACGCCCTCCCCAGTTCTTTTCTCTAACCTCTGTCCTTCTGCCCCCATGAGATGAAGTATTTTCTCTCCCATTGTTGCTGTCTAACCTGGACTTCAGACCTGTTTTAGCCCGAGTTTTGTTTCCAAAGTGGGGCCGCAATAAAATTGACAACGCTTGCAAGTAACATGAAACATTGAGGACCCATTGGCTAAATTTTAGACTGCTCTGTTCCTCTTATTCCTGTGTGATTTTGACTAAGTTTTTCCATCTGCCCCTCGTGTTGTAGAAACCCAACTTGCACAGGTGCCAGCTTTTCAAAATAAATCGATAGCATTGCACAGGCCATAATCTGAGCAGTGTGTGGCCAAAGTCCCAGGTGCTACTGCCTAAACTCCCAAGTTCCCTTTGTTTTGTTCATGGATGAAGACTCTCGAAGTGAACTTGATGTGACTTTTTTTTTACACTTGCAGTCTGCTGTGGGGTTTGAATATGAAGGGAAGACTGCCAAGCATGCATCTCAGAAAGGTACTGTATCTTCTGCACTTGACAGTTGCTCTGGAGAACTGATGATAGCAATGTGGATGTGATGTTCAAATTGGAATTTACTTGTATAAACTCTCAGAAGATTTTTTGATCTCTCCTTGAATTGAGCCTTCTCTTTCATTGGGAGTTGTTTGAATTGCATCCTCCTGTGCTAATCTGCCTGATTGTCCCTTTATTTCTGATGCGTATCTCATCTTGAGCCACCTTTTTGCACCTGGGCTTTTGTGGAATTCTCCAGTGAATCAGCACATGATATTGCACTGAGATTGTAACTGCCCTCCTTATTTTCATTCATCTCTTCCAATTTTAACCCAAATTTTTATGTTTTATTTTCAATTATCAATTATAAATTAAAAAGATTATTCAATCAGAACAATGGATGGAAAGAAGCCTTGCCACAAATATTCTGGATGAAAGACTTATTAATCCCTTGTCCTTTAAAATATAATTTGAAACTGTTGGCCCTTTCTCCTGACTGGAGAACATAGTCCTCCTGACTGGCCTTAGCAGTGAACATTAAAGCAAGAGGAATGTTTGAATCTTCAGCAAACCTTAATTATACCAAACCCGAGGTAGACTGCATCACTCTGGCAGTCTTCCTCCAAGATTTATTTTCAGCTAGATTTAAAGATCACTGCAGCCCACCTCCTGTTTGTTTTCAACACAGTGACCTTTCTATGAATAAAGGGCAGTTATTTTCTCTGGTACTGCTTCAGGACTGATCCACGTACAGTTGGTAAATCACAGGGCTTCTGCACTTCTGCCACAATCAAAGATGTTGCATGCTGCGTTTGATGCTTTTGCTGTCTTGAATTATTCAGATTACAGTACTGGTTTTGGGGGGAAGTATGGAGTGCAAGCAGACCGAGTGGACAAGAGTGCCCTAGGGTTCGATTACCAAAGCAAAACCGAGGTTCACCAGTCCCAGAGAGGTGTGTCTTTTTTGCTTCCTTTTTGTTCCACTTTTCCCTCCTAAAAGGTGAAGGAGGGGGGTGGCTTTGTGGTTTCTAATTTGGCTGTCTGTGTCTGTGTGTAGGAGCTGCACCTCAGTGGCAAATTGCTTCAAACTTGATTTGTTTCCAAACTGTATCCTGAGCATTTCCTTTTGCAATTTGCTGAATTCTGTTTTACTTCCAAAGTTCCTTCACGACTTCTCAGAAATCTGACCGGTTTGGAAGGTTTTGAAAAAGTTTGCAATTTCTGGAAGTGTTGACTCCGGTTTCTGGTTCAAGACTGTAAATGATTTTGTAAATCAAAACGGTGTTTACATGGCCAGATTGTTGCTGTGCATTAACGGCTCCTGTTAACACTGGGGACGGAGTTGTGTGCTGTAAATCTAGGACCAGGGCCAGGACCCAACCTAACTCTGGAATGCAGTGCAACAAGACAATCTGGACTTACTGCCTGCACTTTTAATAGAAGATCATCGACCTCAAACCAAACTTTGTTTTTTTCCTCAGCTGATGTTAACTGAGCTGCTGAGTCACTCCAGCATTTTCTGCTTTTTGTCAGATTTCCAGTATTTGTGATATTTTTGCATTTGTGTCTGGGGAATTTGCATACATTTAGGAGACAGGGCAGCTGTCCCCAGATGTAAATAATACAACTTTCCTGCCGTATTGCCTTGTGCATCAACATTACCATTTCAGTGTAAACAGATTCAGAGATTCTTACAGCGCAGAAAAGGCCCTTTGGCCCATCGAGTCTGCACCAACATAACTACCACTAAAAGCGCATTAATCCCAATTTCCTGCACTTGACCCCTATCCCTGAATGTTATGATATTTGAACTGTTCATCCAAATGTTTTTTAAAGGTTGTAAAGTTTCCACCTTCCACTACCTTCTCAGGCAGTACACTCCAGATTTCCATTACCAATGAGTGAAAAAGGTTTCTTCCAAGTCTGGTCTGAATCTCCTGCCCCTTACCCTAAAACTATGCCCTCTCGTGATTGACCCCTCAACCAAGGGAAACAGCTGCTCTCTACTCACCCTGTCCATACCCCTCATAAATTTATATCTCAATCACGTCCCCTCTCGGTCTTCTCTGCTCTAAAGATGAGTTACGTTTATAAAAATTCCTAACTCTTTTCTGGATAAATTAGGAGTTAGATTTGGAAAGGTGTAGCATGGTCTGTGGATATACTGTTGTGTGCCTTCTGCTGTTGCAAAAGTTAAAGTACTGATTTTGAGTTTAATAACATCTCCTATGCCGTTTCCAAAACCGTTCACAGAATGCACATCTCATTTTCCTTTGTGTGTTCATCATGTGTGTCGTACCATTGCTTTGCCAATGTGTATTATTTACCCCCTTTGTTACACAGTTTCGAAAATTCTGCCTTCAATTCCCCCATGTCCAATTTGTATTGTCTTTTCTGGTCACATGTCACTGATACGCTAGAAACACCTAGTTGTCCTTCAGCCAAGTTTTATTATTGTTTTCAGTGAATAACATGCTAGAAAATAACAGAGAAATTGAAATTAAGACTTTGTATCTGTCAGCCTTTTTAATCCGTTGCCCTTTGCTTCCAATCAAACAAACATTCTCAGATCAAAAGGAAAACCTGCTTTATTAAATTATGGGTACAAAGTTAGACCAATGTTCACACAATCAATACCATTCACAAAAATAATGAACTATTTCATTCAGAGTTCAACACTGATACAATATTTGATTGATGTTTACCTGTTCCAGTGAAAGGTACTGATGTAAAAAACACTGATTTTAATCACTCCTCAGGGAATAGAGGAAGCCCCTTTCTATTGTGGTTTTAATATGGTATTTGATTCATGTTCTCTTTTGATGTTAGCATTGGTCTTCTGCTATGCAAGTATTTTGTTTGGAATGATCTGATTAGATGGAACATACAGTTGGATGTTCTAGTATCTAAACTAATGATGGCTCAGCTTTCTGCAGCTCGCATTATTGAATCTGACGACTCCTGTTGAGGTTAATCAAGCTGTCTAATTTCTCCATCGCTGAACAGTTCTGGTAGACATTTGGAGTATAGCATCACTTCTGTGGCACTTGCTGGGCTCTGTTTAGAGCTGGTTGTGTAAATATTTTCTGACTCGGTTAGCTGATCCCTATTTCAGTTCGTTTGTTGTTCCAGTCAAGAAAGGCAGGATATACATGTGTCAAGTTAGTGTGCTTCTTTCAGCATTTTCTCTGCAATCATGACTTTCCAGCCTGGCCGTTAGACTCTGAATATGTCCATCATAACCTTGGATTGCCTTCAGTGTTATGCAACTGTTGGAACTTACTTGAGTTAAACAATGATTTATTGTCTGCAGTAGGCTCATCTGGAATACACTGGCTTGCAAAATAAACTTCTGATCATAGCTTTTTTTTTCCTTTTTGTAATTAAAAGGGAATGATTCCAATTCTAATGGTTGTGTGCATCCAATAAATGTGCCATTACATTCAGGAATTCAGAGTTTGGAGGCACAGGGAGCAGGGGATTGGGAATAATTTGGGAATATGTTCATGGTGTTGCAGGTACACTGGTGTGAATGGGCTCCTCCTTTATCTCTAAGACTTTTGATAGAGCTTGTTACATGCAATTGTACCCCATCTGCTGCATGGCTTTTGCTGGGTTCAACTTTTCTTTGCCTTAAAAGCTCTCCAGATCCTTGGCCACACACTATCGTTGTGATGTAATTACAGTTGGAATGCTCTATCATCATCTCAAATGGCCTCAAACTCCTTTCAGCAATGGAAGTCAATGTTCAGTCAGGGCTATGTAAAAGTCCAAGCTTTCAAAGCAAATGGAATATAAAAGTAGAGAGGTTTTCTAAAACTATACAAGGCACAAGTCAGACCCCAGCTGGAAAACTGTGAACAGTTTTGGTCCCCTTATCTAAGGAAAGATAGACTGACATTGGAGGCAGTCCAGTGAAGGTTCACTCAGCTGATCTCAGGGATGGAGGGACTGTTGTATGAGGAGAGGTTGTGTAGATTGGGCATGTATTCATTGGAATTTTAGAAGAATGAGAGGTGACATTATTGAAACATAAAGATTCTCTGAGGACCTGATAAGGGAGATATGGTGAGGCAGTTCTCCCTTTGTGGGAGAGTCTAGGACCAGAGGCCATAATTTCAGAGTAAGGGATTGCACATTTAAGACAGAGATGGGAAGGAATTTTCTCTGGACAATGAATCTGTGGAATTCTTTGTTTCCTGTCCATTGACTGAATGCTGTTTTGGTTGAAGCTACCAGTGAGGTTTTAGTATTCCAAACTGTTCCCTCTCTCAACGTGTATCCATGTGTCCACTATTTATTCCAAGGCAAAACATCTTACTGAAATAGCTGAATCTTACTTTTTGTTATCGAGAGGGTTTTTTTCGGTTATTGATCCATCAACTTCAAATGTGGAGAAATAATCTTCACTCTGTCTCCAGCCATGTGTAGATAGTGTGTGGCAGGATTAGTTTCTTGGGCTTTGGCTAGACATTTGAGAAATACTGCCCTTTTCTGAATGCATTTCCCTTCAGACTGCGAGCCAAGCAAGTTCCTTTCCTTCTGATCTGATGTTTTTAGTGCAGGCTACAGTGGGTGGTCTCAAAAAAAAAGCTCAGGACAAATCATTTCCCTGCTTTGCAGTGCTATCTCTCAAAGTAAACCCAATGCTTTCTCATGACTGTTTTAATCTGTTTCACCGTTTTTAGTGAGATCTGTATTTGTACTCCCAGAACCTCCTGTCTCTCTTCCTCTTCCTCTTTTAAATCATAGCACCCTGGAAAGAAGCCATTCAGCCCTTCAGGTCCACACCAAACCTTTTGAGGAGCATCCCACCCAGACCTACCCCCTTACCCTATCCCTGTAACCCTGCATTTCCCATGGCCAATCCACCCTAACCTGTACACTTTTGCACTTTAATTGACTTTTGTTTTAGACATTTATTTTCTGAGAAGGTGAAGTCTTATCCTGACATTGATCCTCTAGTTCCAGAATTGCTAACCAAGGGAAACTGTTTTGCAGCATCTACTCTGCCAAATTGTTTAGAATTTTATATCCTTCAATAAGAATGGCTCTGATTCTGCGAAAAGTCAGTGACTTTGGGCCCATTCTCCCCATTGCTCGCTCTCCTGTTTGCAAGGTCCCTCTTATTCCAGGCAACATTGGAGTTCCACATGCATTTCTGAGTCCTGCATTGGCCAACCAATGCTACCCTTTCCCACCACATCTCCTCTTCGATTGAACTCCTGACTTCTCCACTTCAGGAGCAGCTGCTGGTTTCTCTCCCCTTCCCTCGCTGCCTCATTCTGTTCATTGAGCAGCAACTTCATTCGATGAAGCCTATTCTCTCTCATGCTTCAGATTCTCAAGAGGCAGGCTTCAATTTGGAAACTCCTCCTTGTTGTTCTCTCTCTCTCCGTGGCCTCTCTATCTCTCCCAACGTCAGAGATTTCTCTAACTCTGGCCCTTTGGACTCTCCACCATCGGTGACCTTGCATTAGTCCCTGGGTTTCAGTTCTAAACAGGAGGCAGGCTAGCATCAGCAAGCAGTTAGTGAGGCAAATAGAATTGTGGGCTTTATAAATGGAGACCTAAAGAATACAAAGGGAAGGGGGTGTGGCAAGCATGTATAAACAACTGGTTCTCCCTTAACTGCGGCACTGTGCCCAATTCTGGGCGCCACAATTCAGGAAGGACCAGAAAGCAGTAGAGACTTGACGTTACTCATGCAGAAGAACCAGTCGAGGAGGAGATTTGACAGAAGTGTTCATAACCATGAGTGGTCTGGACAGAGCAGATAGAATGCGTTCCAAAAGATTATCAAGAGAGCCAAAAGTAACATTCGGGAAAAGCCTGTGTGTGGTTAGGAACTAAAACGTGCTGCCTGTGTGTATGGTGATGGCAGCAGATTTGGCGTAGGTTTCAAAAGTGTTGGATAAGGGTCTGAACAGAGAATTTTGCAGGGTGATGGGGAATGAGTGCGACTCGGAGAGTTACTGTTGCAGTAATCAGGCATACGAGCAGGAATCATCTGATTGGCTTTCTCTCTCTCGCCTGGATTAAAGTAAATTTTCTGTGTTGTCTCCAGTCTTGCCTTCCTGCATTTTGTTGCCACCATCCCGTAATAACAATAGCCCCTGAGTTTGGTGTTGTCAGTACATTGTAAAGTTGCAAAATTTGCTGCACATTGCTCACATAAAGGGTGAACACAGTGGTCCCAACACCACGTCTTGTGGGATACCACTTCCTAATGCTTGCTGATCAGAGTGACTAATAAACCGCTTTGTTTTCCTGTTTGAGGTTAGCTCCTTACCCTTTGTGTTATTTATCCCCTAGGTCCACACATTAATCATGAGTCTATTGAGCATTCAAAGCTAGCATGGCTTGTTTCTTTATCCATACGAAACATTGTACTTTTTCCTGCCTGCTGCTTTAATCCTGAGGCTTTGCCATTAATTTACTCACGTTATTTACATCGACTCCTTGGGGCGGCATGGTAGCTCAGTGGTTAGCACTGCTGCCTCACAGCACCAGGAACCCAGGTTCGATTCCACCCTCGGGCGACTGTCTGTGTGGAGTTTGCACATTCTCCCTGTGTCTGCGTGGGTTTCCTCCCACAGTCCAAAGATGTGCAGGTTAGGTGGGTTGGCCATCCTAAATTGCCCTGTAGTATCCGGGAGTGTCTTCCAGGTGGGTTAGCCATAGGAAATGTCAGGTTATGGCAGTCTAGTGAGAGATTTATTTTGTTTCTGGTCAAACTGCCTTCTGGAATCATTGTCTCAATTATTGAGTGTACATTATTTATTGATGTCTTCAACACCAAGTTGCTGTACCTTACTTAGAATACTGTTGATCAGACCTGTCTTTATTCATCTCAAGCTGCTTATCAACACCTCTCCACCTGTAATAATAGTTATTAATGTATCAGTCTTCACAACCTTTCGTTGCTTCTTAAGGCCATTGTAATCTTCACAGTGTCCTGTCTTCTTGCAAAGATGTTCCTGTTGTTGCTCAGAGAATCTTTCAGCTCTGCAGATTTAATACCATGTTTTAGAAAATGGGTCCATGTACTCAGAGAGTCCAGGTGTACATGAAGGATCTGACAGTGCCTTTCTCACCACCAGCCAAGTGATGTCTTGGTGCTTGTTGCAAAGTTCTGGTGATAAGGCATTCTGTCAAAAGACTTTGATAGGGAACCACGTGACAGGATCCACCCTCCCCTTTCCCTGCAGGGTCTTGAGGACACTGTGCTGATCACTTCCTGATGGATTGGTGGTCAAAGGTGTTTTTCTTTGCAAATTTCTCCACGAAGGACCGGTGATATGGAACGGTTCAACTACTTGGAACATTCCACTGCATCGAGGCCAGGCCCATCCTTTGTAACACCGGGGGTAGGTAGAACCTCAGTACATAGTGACTCTTAGTGTTTGTTGCAGCCTTGCATAAAGGTGGCCTTCAGTACGAGGCAATGTTGAGTATGATTCCCCTCTCTACAAACCCAGTCCTATCCAGAGCATTCTGCCTGGTTTGTCTATGCACACTGAGGTAGCCATCAGGATATGGGTAGCATCCTCTTTACTGCCAGGACGTAAACATTAGTGACCCAGAGAGGAGATTCCTGCCCAACATCTCTCCCTTTTCCCGTTACATTTCTGATAAATTAATTTTGTTATCTTGGGGTGAATTCAAGTACCTGGCTCAGCTGTTAGCAAGCCCTGTCTTTTGCTGTTGATTAAATGTTTTCCCTGGTCAGTGATTGGTCAGCTAAGTTTTTTTGTGTTTAGCTGTGGATGCAGAATGATATCGACATTAATTTGGTGCTGAAACTTCCACTTCTCTGCACACAGCAAGGTATGTTTTATAGTAAGTAAAATTCTTCAGCTTTCATTTAACAATGCCAATTGGTTTGCTGTAGATTATTCCAAAGGATTTGGCGGAAAATACGGAGTGGAGAAGGATAAAGTAGACAAGAGTGCTGTTGGCTTTGAATACCAAGGAAAGACTGAAAAGCATGAGTCACAGAAAGGTTAGTTACCCATGTTCCTGCGGAGACTGGACTGTGCTGCTGGTTTGCATGACGTGGTTTGCTTGCAGTAATGTGAGCTGCAGTAGGTCGGTGTATTGGCAGTCTACGTGGATGATGAGGAATCTGGAGAATGTACTGGTGCATGGAGCACATTTGGATTTGGCTGCTGCTTTATTTCATAGTTGTAACGTGGCTGCAGGAGTATCTTGAACACTTCAGTCTGATGGATTGTTTCCTGCTTTTTGCAAGTGAGGGCTTTTGGTCTGGAGTTACGGAAAAAAAAATGCCAGTTTCATGAAGTCAGCATCAACTGAAAAATACGATGCAGTTCCAATAGGGAGCCGGATATTTCTCTTTTTACCAGCACCCTGTTTTAAATCAACCCATGTCACATTTATGATTCCCAATCTTGTAACCTCTACAGAACTGCTTCAGTAACTGTGTGTCTGAATATAAAGATTTTTTAATGAATAAATTATATTGTTGCAATTAGAAAATATCAAAAGTTTCCAAAGTTTTGGATTTTTCTGATGCCACGGTATTAATGGTTCAGGAACCACTGCTGGCAGATGGCATTAAAGGGTTAGCCATGATTTAATTGAATGGTGTATCAGGAATTGATGGGCTGAATGGCTTTCTCCTGATCCTACATTATTGTAGATCAACAATGATTTAATTGATTGACAGAATAGGCTAAAAGAACAGAGTGGCTGACACTTTCTCTCAAGTTTACTGAACAACATTGTAAATTGTTCAATTAATATTGTGTTATGGAGAGCCAAGTTCATTTGGGATAGAGTTGGAGGTGTTGACTTGCTTTAAGCAAAGGGTCCTTGGAGTTCAGGGGAGCTTTCATTCTGATAGGCTGAGATCCATTTAAAACCATCTTCCATTATTTCTAAGTCGTCGTCCTCCTTTTTGAAGTGTTTTTTTGTGGTTGTTTTGTACATTGGCCTGATCCACTATTCATTCCCAAACTTACTGACTGCGTTTGGTTTGTTTAGACTACGTCAAAGGTTTTGGTGGAAAATTTGGTGTCCAGACCGATCGACAGGACAAGAATGCCTTGGGCTGGGATCACCAGGAGACAACACAACTTCATGAGTCACAGAAAGGTCAGTGCTCAGGGGCTTTGTGACAAACTGATGGTTAAAAGCAGATCTGGTGGAATTACTGAGCATCGGAAATGCCGATTGGTCACTGGCTGGCAGTAACTCGGAACAATAAACTATTTGTGGCCAAAGGAATGCAGACTTGGGGGCGAAAGAAGAGTGAGGCATGTTTACGTTCACTCAAAACAGAAGTGAAAAGGATGAAGAGAGTTGAAAAGTAATGTTGGGGACATTGGTTAAAGGTTGCTATGGTTCATGGAATCTCTTTTGTATGTGGATGAAGCAGTTTGTATATGAACTGTAGCCAGGGTGGTTTTACATGAGGAGCGAGAAGAGGCAGGACTGACTGTGAGATGAGTCCAGTGGCTATAAGCAGACAGCTATTGGCTGCAGGACATATGAATGATAGTGGAGAGCACCTTCCTGGCTCTGAGCTGTTTGTCCAATGCCTCCATTCCCATTCCTGCTCAGCTGCTTCGTGTGCAGGACTGGTTTTAGCATCACACCTACACGCTAGGTAAATGTTTCAGGATTCTTGGGAGGTGATGGTCTAGTGGCACTACCACTGGACTGTTAATCCAGAGACCCAGATAATGTTCTCTGGACCTGGGTTTGAATCCCGCCACAGCAGATGGTAGAATTTCAATTCAATAAATATGTGGGATTTAGAATCTAATGATGACCATGAATCCATTATCGATTGTTGGGGGAAAAACCCACCTGGTTCACTAATGCCCTTTAGGGAAGGAAACTGCCATCCTTACCTGGTCTGGCCTACATGTGACTCCAGAACCACAGCAATGTGGTTGACTCTCAACTGCCCTCTGGGCAATTAGGGATGGGCAATAAATGCTGCCCTAGCCAGCAACACCCTCGTCCCATGAATGAATAAAGAAAAAATATGAAAACAGTAATTTTGCATCATACTGGACTTTCTCAAACAACTGGTGGCACATGGCCCTGTTCCTGTTATAAATTGGATCAAGTTTTTATAACCTGCTTGACAGAGATGTTATCAATTTAGAACATTTCAGATTTTTAAATTTCAGAAGACGACATAATTTGGAAAAATCCTCAGATCTATATTCGATCGAAGAATTGCTGTGGGTATAGAGTCACATGTAGGCCAGACCAGGTAAGGATGGCAGTTTCCTTCCCTAAAGGGCATTAGTGAACCAGGTGGGTTTTTCCCAACAACCGACAATGGATTCATGGTCATCATTAAATTCTAAATTCCAGATCGAAGAATCAAGAGAGAGTCTGTGTTTACGTGATTTATTCTGCTTGGGAAGTATTTGTGATTGGTCTTCAGAAAAAATTTTAAAAATTTAAGATGGAAAACCCAAGTGATCTGTCCATGGGAATAGCAGTGCACTGTGATATTATAAATTATGTAGAGGTAGTAGAGTAACGAGCCACTCAGCCCTGATAGGTCTGTGCTAGTGCTATTCCGCACATTCAGCTACATTTCCTTCTGTTCTCCCCCATACTTGATCTAACTTTCTCTTAAATGCTCTTCACCTCAGTTACTCACTGTTTGTTGGCAAGAAATGCTGGCTCACCAAAGACGCCCACATCCTTCATGAATAAAACTGCAAAGTATTCTACAGTGTAGTCACTTCCTGGTTAAAACAGTTTCTTCTGCATTTCTTTCTTGAAATATTTAGAAACATCTTGTATGGGAACGTGGGATGCAGGAGTAGGCCATTCAGCCCTTTGAACCTGTTCTGCCTGTCTAGACCATGGCTGATCAACTACCTCAACACTAGATCTCCGTGCTATCCCACATTCCTTAATGTCATTAAAGCCCTGAGACTCCCTCAGTGCTGTCCCACCACACCTCTGCACCCTGTAAACAAAGTAACTCCTCTGTTTATCCTATCATAATTCATATTCTCAAAGGTCTAGCTTCCTTATGATCTTTCCCTCCGATATTCCTTATGGTCACAAGTTTTACATTCTATTGATATTATAATAAGCTGGTGATAAAAGAGCTGTGACACCCTTTCCAAAAATTAAGATGAGAACAAATTCTCTCGCTGTCATCGTGAAGGTTGAATAAAAATGGAGCAAAGAATAAACTGAACAATTATAGAGCACTTAGTCTAGCATGGGTACCGGGAAAATTAATAGAACTAATTCTGAGAAACCAGATAAACTGTCACTTGCAAAGGCAGGGAGTAGTTTCGGACAGTCAGAATGGATTTTTTCAGGGAAGGTTCTGTCTGATGAACTTGGATAATATTTTTGTGGAGGTCACTAGGTGCAGCTAGTGCAGTTGATATGGTCCACATGGACTTTAGCAAGTCTTTGGAAAAGGTCCTTCAGAACAACCTGGTTAAAAGAAAATAAAAGGCCATGGGATCTGGGGGAAATATGACAAACTGGACACAAAACCAGTTCCGTGACAGGAAGGAAAGGGTCATGTTTGATGGATGTTTGTAGGATGGAAGTTTCAGTGGGGTTCCATGGGGCTCAGTGCTGCACCCTGCTTTTTTTGGGTTTATATATTTATGACTGGGACACAAATGTAAGGGACATAATCATGAAGTTTTGGAGACAACACAAAATTGACCGCTAGTGAAGAGGAAAATTGTAGACTGCAGCACGATATCGATGGGAGTGTATGAGTGCCTCAGAAGTATGAGGTAATATATTTGGGGAGATCAAAAGGACAAAGGAATGGACAATAAATAGGAGAGAAATAAATAGACAGAAATGAGACGACCTTGGAGTGAATGTCCATAGATTCTCAAAGCTACAGGTCAAGGTCGATAAAGTGGTGAAGAATGTGGATGGAATCCTTTTTGATAGGATGCCTGGATATCTATCTGAAGACCTGTAACCTCCAGGGTATGAGCCAAATGCTGGGAAAAGGGACTAGGCTGTGTTGTTTATTGGCCAGGGCAGACACAGTGGGTACAGTGGCTTCCTTCTGTGTTGTAAACCTCTGTATAAACATTTGAACTACCAGAAAGGGAGGGATGTGGGGATGTGGGGAAGGGGAGTACAGGAGTTGCTCATTCGAATGACCAGCACAAACAGAAGTGGTTGAATGACTGTCTTCTGTGCTGTAACAATTCTGCTGTGAATTGCTGTGTTCAGTCTGTGAAGGTGGTGAAAAGAGAGTCCAGGTCCCCAAGGGGAATAAACACTAAAGGAAAGGAAGGGGAACAGGCTGACGTGATGCAGGAAAGTGGACATGAGGAATGTTGGATCAGCCCTGATCCTATTGAATGGTTGAGCAGGTTCAATGAGCTGTACAGCCTACTCATGTTTCTATTTCTTAGATTGTATGGGCTTATGCCAGTTCTCTGAGAAGCAATGTGTCAAATGGGCCACCTCTATCATAAGGAGTCTATCACTGTTTCTACAGGATTATTTTAAACTTCATTCTCCACCTGTTACTCTGATCAATGAGTAGAAGCTGAGTGTGATCAGTGCAATATTTGAGAACTAATTACCAGCTGACAAACATAACCTTTTGCAGCATGAGCAGACAGGAGATGACTTAGTCATTGTAAGACCCTAAGAAATAAGAACAGGAGTAGGCCATTCAGCCCCTTGAGCCTGCTCCACCATACAATAGGATCATGGCTGATCTGACATTCCTCACGTTCACGCTCCTGCTCTTTGCCCATAACCCTTGATTCCTCCCCTGTTCAAGAAGCTTAACAATATGCAAGGAGTCTCGCCCCACAGCTCTCTGTGGCAAGGAGTTCCAAACAGAAGAAATTCCTCCTCATCTCAGAGTTAAATCAGAGTTTTATCCTGAAACTATGTCCTCTGGTCCTAGACTCTTCCACGAGGGGAAACATCCTCTCAGCACTTACCCTGTCAAGCCCCTTAAGAATCCAATATGTTTCAATTAGATCACCTTTCGTTCTTCTAAACTCCAATGAGTAGAGTCCCAAGCTGTTTAGCCTTTGCTCAGAAGACAATCCCTTTTATACCAAGAATCATCTGAGTGAACATTCTCTGAATTCCTCCAATGAAACAATTTCTTTCCTTAAATAAGGGGATCAAAATTGTTCACAGTACTCCAAATGTGGACTCACCTGCACCTTGTATACTTGAATAAGACTTCCCTACTCTTACACTCTAACCCCATTGAAATAAGGGGCCCACATTCCATTAGCCTTCCTGATTACCTGCTAATCCTGTGTGCTAGCTTTCTGTGTTTTGTGCACAAATTCCCCCCCAAAGTCCCTTTGTGTTGCAATTGTTTGCTGTTTTTCTCCATTTGAATAATATTCTATTCTTTTGTTCTCCTTCCCAAAGCAAACAATTTACATTTTCCCACATTATATTCCATTTGCCCATTAACTTAACCTATCAATATCTCTGTATAAGCTGTTTGTATCCCCTTTGTAACTTGTCTCTCCACCTATGGTTGTGTTGTTATTAAATTGAAATCTTTTTGTTTTATTCAGTATCCACTGTTACATGGTAAGCAAGATTAGTTTCCGAGGGAATGGACTGGATTTCCTGCGCTGTGTTGACATTGAATTTCTCTCATTGAGCTCAGTGCTGACAGTGCCTGACCTGTTGCTGAGGCTGGGAATTGTCAGGACACCTGCTAACAAAGCATCTGCTGTAGGCTGCCAGTAACTGGGAGCTCGATTGTAATCCCACACTGAGTCAACAATAATGGTATTAGTCAGGGACAATTATAAAAAAACACAACTCTGCTGTTCCCTCAGCATCAGTAATGGTATAACTGCATCCATTGCAGAATGTTTGAACAGTTACCGAAACGAGAATATTATTTTGCCTTTTAAATTGCTCATTAGACCTAAATCTCACCTTTTTTTATTTGGAAAGAGGTCAGCTCAATGTTTGCCATTGTGTGCATTTGTATAACTTCTACCCCTTTCCCCAGAAAGAAGTTGTTGGGGACATGTGTGTGCAGGGAGGATGTGTGTCTGAGAGTTGGTTTATGTATCTGAGTGGGGGCGGTGGGTATGGGGGTGTTGGTGTCTTTGTTTATGTTGCCATGTGTGTGTGTTTTTGTAAGGGAGGGTAGTGTGTGTGGGGGGAGGATGCGTCTCTGACGGCTGGTTTGTGTATGTGAGTGGGGGTGGTGGGTGTATGTGTGGGGAGGTTTGGGAGTGGTGTGTGTGTGTGAGGGGGTGCTGAGTTTGTTGTATGTTGATGGGGGTGGTGGTGGTGTGTTTGTGGCAGAGGAATGGTCTGAACTGAGTGGACCATTTAATTTCAGTTTGAAAATCCTCTATTTCCACTCGTCTGTACCTGTGTATATTCCAGGAAAGCAAGGCTTCTTCAGAATATCAAAACATTTCCAACTAAACCTATCCTGCACTACAGATTTCTCTTTATAAAACTTTGATATGTTAGCCAGCCACGTTTTTGGAATAATGGTCTATTTTACACTCACCAAGTACAAAAAGAGGTGAATATGACCCATAGAAACTGAAAGAACTGCGGATGCTGTAAATCAGGAACAGAAACAAAGTTGCTGGAAAAGCTCAGCAGGACTGGCAGCATCTGTGAAGGGGAAAACAGAGTTAACGTTTTGGGTCCGGTGACCCTTCTTCAGCACTGGCGTTATACCCAGGTTTCCTCTCCACATTTTCTGTTCCAAGGCATGCAACCGCAATCTAGAACCTAGAACCTAGAACAGTACAGCACAGGCCCTTCGGCCCACGATGTTATGCCAAACTTTTACCCTAATCCTAAGGTCTATCTAACCTCCACCCCTACCTTATACTAGCATCCATATGCCTACCTAATAGCCACTTAAATGCCCCAATGAGGCCGACTCCACTACCCTCTCCGGCAATGCATTCCACGCCCCGACCACTCCCTGAGTAAAGAACCTACCTCTGACGTCTCCCCTATATCTACCTTCACTCACTTTAAAACTATGCCCCTTCGTAATAGCTACCTCCATCCTAGGAAAAAGTCTCTGGCTGTCCACTCTATCTATACCTCTGATCATGTTGTACACCTCTATCAAGTCACCTCTCATCCTTCGTCATTCTAAAGAGAAAAGCCCTAGCGCTCTCAACCTTTCCTCGTAAAACCTTCCCTCCATTCCAGGCAACATCCTGGTAAATCTCCACTGCACCTTTTCCAACGCTTCCACATCTTTCCTGTAATGGGGCGACTAGAGCTGGACACAATACTCCAGATGTGGCCGAACCAGGCTTTTGTATAGCTGGAGCATAACTTCATGGCTCTTGAACTCAATCCCTCTATTAATGAAAGCTAACACACCATACGCCGCCTTAACAACTCTATCCACCTGGGTGGCAGCTTTCAGGGAACTGTGGACATGAACCCCAAGATCCCTCTGCTCCTCCACACTGCCAAGAATCTTTCCATTAACCCTGTGTCCTGCTTTCAAGTTTGTCCTTCCAAAATGAATCACCTCACACTTTTCAGGGTTAAACTCCAGCTGCCTCTTCTCAGCCCAGCTCTGCATCCTATCAATGTCCCTTTGTAACCTAGAACAGCTCTCCGCACTATCCACAACTCGACCCACCTTCATATTGTCCGCGAACTTACTAATCCACCCTTCCACTCCTACATCCAAATCATTTACAAAAATCACAAATAGGAGAGGACCCAGAAGAGATCCTTGTGGTACACCACTTGTAACTGAGCACCATGTTGAATATTTTCCGTCCACTACCACCCTTTGTCTTCTAAGGGTCAGCCAATTCTGAATTCAATCTGCCACATTTCCCCCTATTCCATGCCTCCTTACCTACTGCATGAGCCTACCATGGGGAACCTTATCAAACGCCGTACTTAAATCCATGTATATCACATCCACTGCTCTACCTTCTTCCATGTGTTTGGTCACCTCTTCAAAGAATTCAATAAGGATTGTGAGGCATGATCTACCCCTCACAAATCCATGCTGACTATCATGAATCGAACTGTACCTATGCAAGTGATCATAAATCCTATCTCTTAGAGCCCTTTCCAATAATTTGCCCACCACTGAAGTAAGACTAACTGGCCTGTAATTTCCGGGGTTATCCCTATTCCCTTTTTTGAACAAAGGAATGACGTTTGCCTCTCTCCAATCTTCCGGCACTATACCCGTGGACAGTGAGGACAAAAGATCATTGCCAAAGGCCCTGCAATCTCTTCCCTCGCTTCTCATAGAATCCTTGGATAAATCCCATCAGGCCAGGGGGACTTGTCTATCTTCAAGTTCCTCAAAATTCCTAGCACATCTTCGTTACTAACAGCAACCTCCTCTAGCCCACCAGCCTGTTTCACACTGTCTTCCTCTACAACTAGGTCCCACTCAGTTGTGAATACCAAAGAAAAGTATTAATTAAGGACCTCTCCTATCTCTTTAGGCTCCGTGCACAAATTCCCTTTACAATCCTTGATCGGCCCTACCCTTTCTCTGGTCATTCTCTTATTCCTCACGTATGTGTAAAAAGCCTTGGAGTTTTCCTTGATCCTATCTGCCAAGGTTTTCTCATGCCCCCTTATAGCTCTCCTAAGTCCTTTCTTCATCTCCTTCCTGGCTAACTTGTATCCCTCTCGAGCCTTTTCCGATCCTTGTTTCCTAAACCTTATATAAGCATCCTTCTTCTTAACTAGCTGTTCGGCCTCTCTTGAGAACCAAGGCTCCCTCACTCGACCGCATCTTCCCTGCCTGCTAGGGACAAATCTCTCCAATCTCTCTTCATAGCTCAGCTCCTCCAGCCTAGGCAACATCACGGTAACTCTTCTCTAACTCCTCTCCAGTGCAATCAATCCTTCCGATAATGTGGAGACCAGTACTCCGGCTGTGGCCAAACCAGCAATTTACATAGTTCTAGCAAAGCTTTGTATATCCCTACTCTTGCCTTTATTAGCCGAGGCATAGAATACAAGTATCCCATATGCCTTCTCAACTACTTTATCTCCCTGCCCTGCTACTTTCCTGGATCTGTGGATATGAACAGTAAGGTCCCTCTGACCATCAGCACTCTCCAGGGTCTTACCATTCAGAGTATAACACCTTGCCTTGTTAGCCCATCCAGTTTTCCAGGCTGAATTCCATTGCTCTACACTTTGCCCAGCTGACCGGGCCATTGAGATCTTCCTACAGTTTGCAGCTATCCTCCTCATTATTTGACCCCTTATCAATTTTCATGTCAGCCGCAAACTTCTTGATCACACCCTCTATGTGCAACTCCAAAACTTAAATCTAAATCATCAGTGTACGTCAGAAGCAGCAGGAACCCCAATATTAAGCCCTGTGGAGCCCCACTGGAAACAGACATCCAATCACAGAAACACCCTCTAACATCCTCCCTGACTTCCTCCCCCTCAGCATGGTTTGGAATCAACGTGCCACTTGGCCTTGGTTCTCATGGGCTCATTCTTTCTTGATCTGTCTGTCATGAGGAACCTTATCAAAAGCTTTGCTAAAGTCCATATAGAACCTTTTGAATGTATTCCTCTCATTCACATTCCTCAAAAAATTCAAATAGTCTCTCGCACTGTTATCACTGAATGATCTGTATTTCTCCCAACATAGATATATTCTGTTCCTCAGAATTATTTCTAATAATGTCCCCATGGCCGAAATTAGACTGGCCTGTAATTTCCTGGTTTGTCCCTTCCTCATGTTTTTTTTAATCATGTTACAATATTAGCAGTCCTGCATTCCTCTAGCGCCTGATTTAAGATGGCTTGCTCCCGTGTACAAAGAGGATGCCAGTTTTCTTTCTCTATTCTGACAAAGCACAAGTCTGCAAATCCGATACATAATTGAATATTTATATTGGCACAATTCCTTTAAAATGGTTATTTCTAGGTTACAGTTTCTATTGTTGATGATTTCCATTGGCATTTGAAAGGAGTTGTTCAAAGTCTCCCAGGAAAAGGAAATTTCACAGAATCACAGAATTGTTAGGGAGCAGGAAAAGGCCACTGGGCCCATTGTACCTGCTCAAGTGTGCTTTCTATGTGTGTGGCTCATCCCTAACCACCCTTTCATGTCAGTATGAAAGTTGGGCATTGGATTAAAGTTGTGCCCAAACCAGCTTGATTAGAACTAACTGGTATTTTCAAATAATGCAATTTAACAAGAATCTAATTGTACTTAACAAAGAACCCTCATTAGAGCATGTTGTGTTTTTGAAGCAATCTGCTTTTAGAGTTTTATATTACATTGTACTGTTTGCTTTTTTATCTGTTTTGTTTTATAACTCGGTTGTTACTTGTTCGACCTAACTTGCCTCGTGTTTTTCTTGTCACTGTCTTTGTTTTGGTTGTGTGTGGATTCACAGACTATAAGAGAGGTTTCGGTGGTAAATATGGTGTTGAGACAGAAAACCAGGACAAATCTGCCGTGGGTTTCGATTACAAGGAAAAGCTGGCCAAGCACGAATCTCAACAAGGCAGAGTCTGATGCCAGGCCTCAATCTGGCTTTGTAAAATGCACTAAATTGACAGCACAGACCCTTTCAGTGGCATTTTCTTTTCAGTTCTGCAATGGGTATTAAAAGCAGCTTTCTCCCCCAGATTGATTCCACACAGCCCAAAAAACAGTACAGCTCATTTGGAAAGCTGCAGAAGCGGTGACCAATCTCTGGTGTGTTTTTCCCTTCTCGGTCTGTCTGGTATAGACCAGCCACATGGTTCACAGGAGCTACTGACTTTCCTTCTCCACTTGACTCGATTTTCTCCAACAGCTCCTCATTAACTTCAATCCTGCAGCAAATTCCTCCCATCCTTCCTCAGCTGATACCATTGAATGTGCTGTTTTATAATAGCTGAATGCTTGTACAACAGTTAAAATTACATCAACGTTCAGGCTACAGACCCAGAGAGAAATTTGACTTGCATCTGCTTCTGTCATGTATCCGTAAGGCACACGGAAATGTGACAATTTCAAATCTTCATTTAGCGAAAAGTAAATGCTTATTTAACACCGCACACTGAAATTCCCTCCATAGACTCGATACCATGATTTAAATCCTCAATTCAGATGTTATGTAGAAAGAACATTGAGTAGAATCTTCCTCATAATCTGATTTCTAAACTATTAGCAGGACTGTAGCTGGTAGCCAAGCTGCCCATTAATAGATTTTCTGATTGGCTAATACAAATGGCTTAATACAATTTAAGCTACAACATGGCATCTACTTGACAACATGGAAAATTGCCCAAGTATGTCCTGTACACAAAAAGCAGGACAAATCCAACCCGGCCAATTACTGCCCAATCAGTCTTCTCTCAGTAAAGTGATGGAAGGTGTCAGTAACAGTGCTATCAAGCAGCACCTGCTCAGCAATAACCTGCTCAGTGACGCCCAGTTTGGGTTCCGCCAGGGCCACTCAGCTCCTGACCTCATTACAGCCTTGGACAAAAGAGCTGAATTCCAGAGGTGAGGTGAGAGTGACAGCCCTTGACATCGAGTCTATATTTGATCAAGTATGGCATTAAGGAACCCCTGGCAAAACTGGAATCAATGGGTATCAAGGGACAAACTCTCTGGTGGTTGGAGTCATTCCAGACACAAAGGAAGATGGTCGTGGTTGTGGGAGGTCAATCATCTTGGCTCCAGGACATCTTTGCAGGAGTTCCTCAGGGTAGCGTCCTAAACCCAATGACCTTCAGCTGCTTTATTAATGACCTTCCCACCATCACATGGTCAGAAGTGGGGATGTTCACTGATGATTACACAATGTTCAGCACCAGTCACGATTCCTCAGATACTGAAGCAGACCATGTTCAAATGCAGCAAGATCTGGACAATATCCAGGCTTGGGCTGTCAAGTAGCAAATGACATTCGCTCCACACAAATGCCAGGCAATGACCATCTCTGTCAAGAGACAATCTAACCATAGTCCCTTGACATTCAATGGTGCTACCATCACTGAATCCCCCACTATCAACATCCTGGGGGTTATCAGTGACCAGAAACTCAACTGGAATCACCACATAAACACAGTGGCTACAAGAGCAGACCAGAAGCAGGAATACTGCGGCGGGTAACTCATCTCCTGACTCCTCAAAGCCTGTCCACCATCTACAAGGCACAAGTCAGGAGTGTGATGGAATACTCCCCACTTGCCTGGATGGGTGCAGCCCCAACAACACTCAAGAAGCCTGACACTATCCAGGACAAAGCAGCCGCTTGATTGGCACCACATCCACAAACATTCACTCCCTCCCCCACCGACACTCAGTAACAGCAGTGTGTACTATCTACAAGATGCACTGCAGAAATTCACCAAAGATCCTCAGACAGCACCTTCCAAACCCATGACCACTTCCATCTAGAAGGACAAGGGCAGCAGATAGATGGGAACACCACCACCTCCAAGTTCCCCTCCAAGCCACCCACCAACCTGATTTGGAAATATATCATCGTTCCTTCACTGTCACTGGGTCAAAATCCTGGAATTCCCTCCCTAAGGGCATTATGGGCAAACCTACACCACATTGACTGTAGTGGTTCAAGAAGGCAGCTTACCACCACCTTCTCAAGGGGCAGCTAGGGATGGGCAATAAATTCTGATCCAGCCAGTGACGCCCATGTCCCACGGTTGAATAAAAATGAAGGCACCTTGCGTTGGGCGATGACCTGAGTCCATGAAGAGCTGCTGATTTCAGTGTTGTAGACTACATCACTGTATGATTGAAGGGGTGGTGTCAAGGAATTAGACACATCATCACCATGGTAACATCAACCCACACAAATATGGGAGATGACATCATTGAAGCCAATAAGTTCTCAAGGGGCTTAGGAAAGGGTGATCTGAGCAGGAGGGTCCCTTTTCTGGGGGAGACTAAAACTTGGTGATGTTGCTTCAGAATAAGAGGTGTCCCTTTAAAGACCGATGAGAATTTTCTTTCTCTTGGAGAGTCATTCTGGTGTGAAATTATCTGCCCAGAGGTACTGTAAACTGGTTGTTTGAATGTATTCAAGGCTCCATGACAGAAATCCCAATTCTGCCCTCAAACCGCCTCCCCACAACAACAATCAGGATAGGGTCCCCTTAGTCCTCAATACCAGCCCACCAACTTCCAAATCCAGCGCATCATCCTCCGACATTTCCGCCTCCTATGATCAGACCCCACCACCTCCCCATCCCAGTCTGCTTTCTACAGGGACCATTCATTCCACAAATCCCTTGTCAGCTCTACACTCCCCACCAACCCCTCCTCTATATCGGGGAGACCAAATACAGACTCGGGGACTGGTTCACAGAGCATCTGTGCTCTGCACGCACCAACCAACCCAACCTTCCTGTTGCCACCCACTTTAATTTCCCCTCCCCCTCCCCCGGCAAAATGTCCATCCTTGGCCTCCCCCACTGTCAGAGTGAGGCCAAACGTAAACTGGAGAAACAACACCTGATATTTCACTTTGGGAGCTTACAGCCCAAGGCCTTAATATTGACTTCACCAGCTTCAAAATCCCTCCACCCCCCGCCTTATCCCATGCCCCGCCCTCACCTCCCTGACCTGAACTAACCTGCCCAATTTCCTACTTACCTATCTGCTCCACCCTTCCCACTGATCAATCACTATAACTGCCTACCTGCATCTACCTATCATCATCACAACTAGCCTCCCCCCACTCCCCAGCCCCACCACCCACTTCTATTTATTTATGAGCTTCCCTCCCTAGTCCTGATGAAGGGTTTCAGCCCAAAACATTGACTTTCCTGCTCCTCAGATGCTGTCTGACCTGCTGTGTTTGTCCAGCTCCACGTTTATTGACTCTGGCTTCCAGCATCTGCGGTCCTTACTGTTTCTGTGAGAGAGATGCCTGAAGAACAAGAGGCTTATTGGGGTGACAAACACAAAGTGGGTTTGAAATCACAGTCAGATCAGACATGATTGCACTGAACGATGAGATAGGCTGAAAAGGACTGGGTGCCCTGATCCTGATGTCTTATTTTGCCGTGCTCAGCTTTACTTGGGGGAGAAGAGATGGACAAAGAAATTTTTCCGCCTGGGGATGGATGTAACCTGGACCATCCCATTTAGTTTCTGACCCCAAGTGGGATACAAGTAATTTTCCAGCTAAATGCCTTCAAAGGTCTGTACTGCAAACTGGTGCATTTATTTGTTATTGTCCTGTCTAACCTGTAGACTTTATTTCTGCTTGTATATTTATCTTGATCAAACCAATCAGCACCTCTTCGCCTGATTGACTGGCCTTAGCATGTCTGTAGTAATCAGGTCATTCATTCCAGCATCTCATTTACTTTCTCTGACAATCTCTGATCAATTTCAAAAGGCACAAAAACACAATGCTCGATCAATAGCGCACATCAGTATAAATCTCCTGTTTGTGGCTGATTCTGTTGAGCCTGATCCTGTTGCGCCTAATCCAATCTTGGCTGTAAATTTTGCATTCTGTTTGGCTGTCTTCACTGAATGATGCATGGTCGCTTTCTTTGTGCCTGAATGCCTGTTGGGCAGCTGCAACTAATTCTCTCTTCTCTTTATTTCAGATTATTCAAAGGGATTTGGTGGCAAATATGGTGTTCAAAAAGACCGAATGGATAAGGTTAGTGACCGTGATGAACTGTTTTCTCTGTAAATGTAGCCACTTTATCATTCAATCACAACACACACATCCGAACAATAAGACAACACTGATTCATTCAGCATATAACATTGTTATAACTCCCACAACATGGTGCTAAATTTAAAGCCAAGTGATTTCCTTGGAGAGGGAAAATTCTATAATCTCCCTGTTGTTTAAGAGTCCAAACGGGTTAATGATAAATTTCTTAGGCATCGTGCACTATGATGACGTCTATGAACTGAGGGAAAGTGTAGCTTAGGATCTCAAAGGAGTTAAGTCTGACCATCTGGGTCTTGCTTAGTCTCCGTGACAATGTCTACCACATCAGTGTATCTTGTACCTAGTTGCTGTCTTGCAATAAACTCCGAATTGTTTAAGACCAGAGTTTCATCTTGTTTGACCACCAAGTGGCTATCTTCAATCGCACTTGACCTTGTAGATCCCAACCATGGAAGAGAATGATGGCAGCAAATATTACCAAGACTTGATACGACATGAGCAGTGGTGATGATTCCATTCTTTTGGTCTTTCCATTCAGCCCATCTTTCCTGTACTATCTCTATGAACAGGGTTAGCCTGTGTCATTTTCCCACCTTCCCCCTGTAACCCTGCACATTCTTCCTTCTCAAATAAGCATCTTGTTCCCTTTTCAAAGCCTCGATTGACTCTGCCTCCACCACACTGTCAGGTACTGTGATGCAGACCCTAACCATTTATCGTGTGAAGAAGAGTCATAGAGTTGTACAACATGGAAACAGACCCTTCGGTCCAACTCGTCCATGCTGACCCGATGTCCTAAATAAATCTGGTCCCATTTGCCAGCATTTGGCCCATATCCCTCTAAACCTTTCCTCTTCATCTGCTCATCAAGATGCCTTTTAAATGTTGTAATTGTACCAGCCTCCACTACTTCCTCTGGCAGCTCATTCCATACACGCACCACCCTCTGCATGAAAATGTTGCCCCTTAGGCTCCTTTTAAATTTTTCCCCTCTCACCTTATACCCATGCCCTCTAGTTTTGGACTCCCCCATCCTGGGGAAAAGACCTTGTCTATTTACTGTATCCATGCCCCTCATGATTTTATAAGCCTCTATAAGGTCACCCCTCAACCTCTGAAGCTCCAGGGAAAATAGCCCCAGTCTATTCAGCTTCTTCCTATTGCTCAAACCTTCTAATCCTGGCCACATTCTTGTAAATCTTTTCTGAACACTTTCAAATTTCACAGCAGCCTTCCTACAGCAGGGAGACCAGAACTGAACACAGTATTCCAAAAGTGGCCTCACCAATGTCCTGTACAGCCGCAACACGACCTTCCAACTCCTATACTCAATGCACAGACCAATAAAGGCAAGCATACCAAATGCCTTCTTCACTGTCCTGTCTACCTGTGACTCCACTTTCAGGGAACTATGAACCTGCACTCCAAGGTCTCTTTGTTCAGCAACACTCCCCAGGACCTTACCGTTAAGTGTGTAAGACCTGCCCTGATTTGCCTTTCCAAAATGCGGCACCTCACATTTATCTAAGTTAAACTTCCTCACATCACCATTGCTCGTTTTGCTGATAATTTTAAATCTGTGCCTCTGCTTCTCGACCCTTCCACCAATAGGGGTGGTTCAATCTGCCCAGACCCTTCTGATTGTGAACACCTCAATCAAATCCTTCATGACCTTCTCTGAGGAGAACAGTCCCAGCTTCTGCATTCTATTGATGTAACTGAAGTTCCTCATTCCTGTACTATCTCCAACATCTTCCCATCCTGCTTCCTAAGCTGGTGTCCACGCCAGCTGAAGACAAATCAGTGTCTTCTACAAGTTCAACATAACTTTCCTTCTCCTGTACTCTGCCCTTATTAATAAACCACTGGATCCTGTCTACTTTATTACCTGGTTTCTCCACCTGGCCTGTCATCTCGTATTTTAATGTCGTGGCTGTTTATGATAACTTGCAGCTGAACATGTGAACGAATATGACTTCGGGTAAAAAGAAAGTTTTAATCCAGGATTCTTTAACATGCAAGTGAAGGTGTCTGGAATGGACTGTCTGACTCAAATAGAATCCTTGGAAGAGGCTAAAACAGAAATAGCTGGAAAATCCCACTTCTGAAGGAGGGTCAGTGAACCCAAAATATTAATTCTGCTTTCTCTCCCATAAATGCTGCTGAGTTTTCCAGCAATTTCTGTTTTTGTTTCTGATTTCCAGCATCCGCAGTTTGAGTCTCAGAGTCTTGGAATCATACAGCATGGAAACTGAGCCTTTGGTCCAACCAATCCATGCTGAACATAATCCAAAATTAAACTAGTCTCACTTGCCTGCTCCATATCCCCCCAAACCTTTCCTATTCATAAACCTATCAAAATGTCTCTTAAATGTCACATTGTGCCCACATCCACCACTTCCTCTGGAAGTTCATTCCACGTGCGAACTGCCCTCTGTGTAAAAAGTTTACCCGTCATGTCTTTTCTAAATCTCTCTCCTCTCACCTTTAGAAATGTGCCCCCTAGTCTTGAAATTTTCCATCTTTAGAGAAAAGACACTACCATTAAGTCTATGTGTACCCCTCATAAACTTCTATAAGGTTGCCTCTGAACCTCCTGTGTTCTGGTGAAAAAAAGTCCCAGCTTTCCTTTATAACTCAAACCTTCCAAACCTGGCAACATGCTGGTAAATCTGTTTTTATTACATTAGAAGAGATTGTTTGGTTCTTCAAGAACATGCTGGTTTAGATTAGAGCTGTCAATCTAATCCTATTTCCCCATGTCCCTTTACAATTGTTTGTTTTTTTTGAGTCTTTTATAGAATCTTTCAGTGTTGTAACTGACTGGCTTCTGATCATTAATTCTATATTCTTTTAATGTTGCTGAGTTTATGCCCCAGCATTAAATCACCATCATTGAGTATAATCTTCTTGCTTTAATAACTAACTCCAGTTCATTGCAGTACAGTTTTTTTAAAATCTCCTCTAATTTCTGGGATTGTCTGAGAGAGTTTATCGTTAAATGGCTGTAATTGGACATCACCAATCTGGCCCAATGCCAGCTGTCCCCAAGCAAAGTCCTGTTGATTATTGCAAGTGAGATTGCTCTGTGATGTATTTACATTCTGGTTTAATATTTATCCAATAAAACGGCATCTGTCTCCTATTTTCCCCACTTCCTTTTCCTCTCTGTCTGATCATCAAATATCGAAAACCTCTGCACCTTTTTACTGGTTTCTTCCTTTAAGATACCTTTGAAATTTAGCCATTTGCCCTGGTATCTCAGACATTGATGAGAGAGGAGGCCATATGGACCCATTGAGTGTGTACTGGCTGTTCTGCAGTAATCACTCTCACCGCCATAGCAGAATACTCTGTCCCCGTAACCCCCTGCGAGTTAACTTCCTTCGCATACCCCTCCCCTTTCCTTCTGAACTCATTGTCTCTGGCTTCTTGAGAACAGTGGAAGCAAGATCTTGGTTACTGCCACTTGCCATGCTCTTTAAAAAAAGCAAAGTTCCTTATCCACATTCCCCCTTCATTCCCTGTTCAAACCTTAAATGTGTATTCCTGCCCGCACAAATCCTTGGGCCATCAGCTAATGGGAACAGTTTTCCATCATCTACCTTTATCCAAACCTGTCCTGATTTTGCCCACCTCCATCAAATCTCCCCTCCATTCTCTGATACAAAAAATAAATCCAGCCTCTGTAACCTAAACATCTATCAGTAGTTGACTCGCCAACTTTAAGGGCATTTAAATGGTCATTGGATAAACATATGGATGATAATGGAATAGTGTAGGTTAGATAGGCTTCAGATTGGTTTCACAGGTCGGCGCAACATCGAGGACTGAAGGGCCTGTACTGCGCTGTAATGTTCTATGTTCTATCTGAATTCCACCCCCACCCCGCACCAATCTCTGGAAGTATTCTTTTCTATCTCCTCATGTTGTGTTGTATTTTGTATGTAAAATGCCAGAGGTACTTTATTACATTAAAGGTGCTACATCAATATTAATTCAATATTCTCTGGATGTACATCACATAATCAGTAATGGCTAACAAAACTGAGACATTAACAGTTTCTCATTCTCAGTTATCGACTGTAAATTTAATGTTGATGTTGCAGTCCAGTTTAGTTTGCTTCCTCTCCCAGATTTAATTTGATTCCTTTTGATTTTCCCTCTGCCCCATCACTGTTGAGACTTTGAGACTGCAACCAGAGTTTAAGAAAATGGTGATTGAACACACTTGGGTATTCTTCTGTGTTGAACAGAAGAAACTGCTTCCAAGTGCCTGTTTATGGAGTTGGGAACAACTCAACCAACATGGAAACACTGCCTTCTAAATGAATCTTAGCCTTCTAACAGAGGCTTTCTTGTTTTGTTCTCGATGGTCTGCTCCACTTTTGCCAGGAAAATAGAATCATACAGTACAGAAGAGGCCTTTCAGCCCATCAGGTCTGCACCACTAAAAACTGCTCAATCTACACAAGTCTTGCTTTCCTGCACTTGCCCCATAGCCTTGAATGTTATGACATTTTAAGTGTTCAAAAAAGTACTTTATGAAGGTTGTGAGGTTTCCCTCCTCAACTACCCTCTTGGGAACTGCATTCCAGACCCGAACCACCCTCTGGGTGAAAATGTTTTTCCTCCAAAACCTTTCACTTTAAAATGGTGCCCCCTTGTTTATTGGCTCTTTGATTAAGGGAAACAGCTGCTTCCTATTTCCCCCTGTCCATGCCCCTCATAATCTTATACATTTCAATCATATCCCTCCTCAACCTTCCCTACTCCAAAGAAAACAACCTGAGCTTATCCAGCCCCTCCTCTTTACTGAAACTCTCCAGCCCAGGCAACATCCTGGTGAATTCTCCTCTGCACCCTCTCCAATGCAATCACATCCTTCCTATAGTGTGGTGACCAGAACTGCACACAGCACTCCAGCTATTGCCTGACCAAAGTCCTGTACAGCTCCAACATAACCTCCCTGTTCTTACAAGACCATAAGACATAGGAGCAGAAATTAGGCC